CTGTGTCCTCCCAGCAAAAGCTGTTCCCAATGACATTCTGTCCCCCTTTAGAGAGTAACTAACCTTCCAGGGATATGTTTACATAAAAGACAGAGTGACTGTATGAGCCTATATTGCATATTTATATTAAATATTTTGACAGTAAAGAGACCTGTAGCTACAGCCCAATAACCAGACACTAAACACACACAAGGCTAACTCCTGTTCTAGAGACAGAGACGGCTGCTATCAACAAACGCCATCTGTCCTACAAGGTTGGCTGAAAAACGCAGTGATGCAGGTTAAATAAATGATGCACTACTTGTATACACTACTTGCATGGTAGCCTATGTTCAACTAGACTGTATCCCTATGCAAATCAGCCTACCTATCACTTGGTAAAGTGACTCAAGTCCTGTAATCCCACTCCTGCTAACCCCAAGTCCTGTGTCTTGAAAAGACGTTTGTTCTGTTGTACTGGACTCACTTGTCACTCGCTAGCTTCTGGTTAAGTTTTACACAGCAGCATGCTCTAAAATGCAAGTAGTAGCAGTGGTCAGCAGATAGCAGCAGCCAGCCCATTCAACCACAGTGCGAGATGTCTGCCCGTCTGCTCTGCTGCCAAGTCTTTCATAGGACTTGCTGTTGTTTTCTAATTCACAGTTAGAAATGGGGCCATTTCTGGGGACAGCTCCAGGGGACGTCTGGTCACCCTACGCTATGGGTCTGAAAGCATGTGTAGCTGGCAAGAAGCCATTACTGAAACTAAAATAGACATAAAAATTGCAACAATATCAAAATTGGACATCTAAACTGTGGAGTAAGGTTTTATAGATTGATCAATTCTAAATTTGTGATTGATTGCTTGGATTGTGAGTGCAACCAACTTCTAAGACTGAACTTTGGAGTTGTGGAAAAATATCACAGTAGATTTCTTTGAAAGACTGAAATCAAATCTCTCAAAAAGAATGGAAACTATAATGAATGCCAAGGGTGGGCATACTAAATACTGATAAAAACTGATATTTTTAGTTGTTCTGGCTTCGGTTGAATTTTATGTTAAATATAATAAATATATGTTTTCTGATTTTTTCCCCTGATGCTGAAAAATGAATAACTTGTGCTTAAAGGCCATTCTGACTGGAAATAAATAGAAGGTTGGTCTCTGACTTTTGCACAGTAGTATATATTTGCATCTAGAAATTATATTTTGGAGAACTAAAATTCAAAGTCAGTTGGGATATACATAAGGTGAGACACTATTAGCCGCATTAAAGACACCACATAACAGCAACTATCGTTAAATATGACAGGTATATGACAATACAATACAATGCATACCGAGAATTTCTGTATTTTTGCCTTATTTGATACAGAGACAACACTATTCTGTACAAAAACAGGGTGGCAGTAGAGTGAACTGAGGATTATCTACTATCATGCATCTCCAGATTCCTGCCTTCACAGCTTAAGAGGAGGTGCTTGTCAGGCAACCGATGCCACAGCCCAATGTTATTGTGTCTATTGTAATGTATTTGGGGAATTCACATGCCAGGTGAAAGGCAAGCAGCAATCTCATCAACTGACATACACATTCATCCTCCCTAGCTTATCTTGTATTATTACTTATTATTTACATTAAGACGCTCCTGAAGGCCTTCATTAGCTGGATCATGTGTGCTAGATTTGGGTTGGAGATCAACTCTGCAGGCTGGTAGATCTCCAGGACAAGGACTGAGGACCGCAAGTTCACATTACAAGCCTTAATGCTCAATTACAATTTTTCATGCTTTACATTCGTGCAAGTAAAGGACTTGAATCTGTCATTAATGCGAACAAACCTATATGAAAATGGCTCAGATCTGATTTGAAAAGATCAGATTTATGTGTCCACCTAGCTCTGAGAACATCAGATCTGTGTCAAGGCAAAAAATCTGATTTGTGCCACTTCAGTCTGGTAATGGTAACGTAGCCTGAGGGCCCTAACCAGAGCCAGTTTAAGGGGAGCATTGGGCAATTTTATATCAAAACCGTGACAGTTAAACGCCAGAGGGCGCCCGCAAGCGAGTCCTTGCTTTAGTTTAGGGGTGAATGGAGCTAAATAGCTAAAAATGAAAAGTTAAAATAGTTTCTAACTACTTGTCGAGGACATTCCTTTAATTTCGGAAAGTATAAGCGTGTATTTTGCTAAAACAAGGAAAAACTTACCTGAATATTTCCTGTTTTCTACAGCAAACGAGTTTGGGGAGCATAACTTCTACTGAGCGCTGATTGGTTGGGGAGCAGCTGAGGCTGAGTGAAGCAGTTCGTGCTCACTGACGTCATGAACGTACATTAAGCACTGTTATGAACTTTCATAACTGGAGTTCAAAAGCACTCAAAAACATAACAGCGGTTTTAAAATGTTTTATGCGGTTCTGTGTTCAGAAATGAATCCATGTTAAAACAGCCGAGTAGTTCTTCTTTTTTAAATAATCGCCTTTAGTCATCTCCTGATGTCCCCACAATGCACTTATGAACCTGAATAATTAAAGCCAAAAAAACAGTTTTTCAGAGGTTCATCATCAGCCGGGGACAGTACTGTGGTAAAAGATGTCATCACAATAGCACAAACATTTTTAGGCGTTTAGGCGCGAATGAGACAGTTAGGGAGTGAGTGGGGCTTAATGACGTCACTCGTCGAAAAATCACCGCTTAACAATTTACAAATAAAAAAACAGCACAAATATTTATTGTAACAGCACAGTTTTAACAGCACGAACGTTTTGGTGCGATTTAGCTGCTGAATGGGGCGAGGGAGCTGAGTGACGTCCCGAGTTCCAAAATGCCATGTTTAATTCCTCAAAAAAGTAAAGAACCATCGCTAGATGGCGCTGTCGCTCTTTTAATCAAATGCGTTCATGAACTAAATGCTACAAAGAACAAAAAGCTTTTTATGAAATTTTTTAGTATCTCTGTCAAACATCTAAGAAATGTCTGGACAAAAAAAAAAAAAAATCAATAAAATAATTAAATTATTTGATTTGTAAGTTATTTCCAAAGCCTCACACAAGCTCATCAATATTTTTAGAATTTTAACAGTATTTTACTGTGTTGTATATGACAGGATGTATGATCTCATGCATAACTATTCCTCTTACACATTTTTAAAAGTTGCTTATTCTTATAGGCTTTGATGAACAGTTCACAGGCTGTTTCAGTTTCCTACTATGACACAACTGTATGCAGTCAGTGCTGCAGAGTAAACTGGATGATCTGCGCTGTGTTTGGCCTGAACTCACATCCATTACATCCATAATAAACCGAATACATGGAAACGGCTTCCTCTGGAAAACAGTGACTAAAATGTCAAGTAAAGTTCTGATAACTGGATGTTTTGAGAAGTTTATTCCAGCGTCAGCTGCTTTATTAAGTAATGCATAATATTAATTTTATATACAAAAGTAATGACGTCCCTGGCCAAATCTTGTCCACCCGCCAAAGCCAATTTTTCCCCACCAAATCCAAATGAAATGCGCCTAATTTGGCAGTCACCCGCCCAATCTGGCAACCCTTACAGACAGCCACATGAAATGCAGTGAATGCTCTATAATACAATAGAATTACTTCCCTAAACAGTCACTTTATTAAACACTATCGCAAATGCTGATAAACAAACATATTTATTTTAAAATCTTTTCAGGTGAAAAGACAACATGTACATCCACACGGTAACTAGTTTCTACGGAGCCCCGGAGGGGACGGAGGTGAAAAAAAATAATTAATTCGAGCGCACGTTTTGTAGTTCGTACGCACGTTTTCTCTTATTCGTGGTCACGATTTCTTAAATCGTTCCCTCGTTTTCTTTTAATCGTGCGCACGTTTTTACTTCGTGGTTTCGTTTTTTTTTATTCGTGATCACGATTTTCTAATTCGTTCTCTCGTTTTCTCTTAACCGTGGTCAGGTTTTATTTTTAACTGAACGCTCGTTGTTTGTGTTTTGATAACAGCTCCCTGAGACCGTCTGACGGGTTTTGACGTGTTAGAGTGATGAGATGATGAACAGAGACGCTCATCAGGTCTGATTGTGATTTGGGGGTTATGAGGAAACAGCAGACCCTCCTCACAGCGAACGGCCCACGGTGTTTCTGCTCCCGGTCAAGCTGCGGTGTTAGAGACCATCACACAATTACAAGAAGAAATGACCAGCGTTTCAACATCCTCACATTAATATATCTACATCTAATCCATAGATCTATTAAACTCTCTCGCCATTTGACCTCATTCCACATGCATGTTTCAGTGTGTGCTTAATTTGAGTCTGTTGAAACGTTGACGCTGAAAATTTCTTCCTGTAATTGTGTGATGATCTCTAACACCGCAGCTTGTTGCGGGAGCAGAAACAGCGCTAAGCGTCTCTCTCTCTGTTAAATATGATCATTAGACAGTGCGGTTTAGTGGAGATTGTGGTTGTAGTTTATTGTCTTCCTTCATTTCACCACCAAACTGCAGCAGCACTGATGAATCTGAGGGCCGTTTGCTGTGAAGAGGAGCTGCAGTTTCCTCATAACCCCCCAAATCAAAATCAGACCTGATGAGCATCTCTGTTCATTATCTCATCAATCTAACTCATCAAAACCCGTCAGAGAGTCTCAGGGAGCTGTTATTTACTTCTGCACCAGACAAAAAACAGACCTGTATCTACAACACTGATTTTGCGCACGAATAAAAAAAATAAGCAACGTGCGTTTAGTTAAAAATAAAGCATGACAACGATTAAAAGAAAACGAGAGAACGAATTAGACAATCGTGATCACGAATAAACAAAAACGTACCCACGAAGTAGGGAAAACGTGCGCACGTTTAAAAGAAAACGAGGGAACGATTTAAGAGATCGTGACCACAAATAAAGGAAAACGTGCGTACGAACTGCAAAACGTTCGCTCGTTATTATTTTTTTTCCCTCCGTCCCCTCCGGGGCTCCGTAAGTTTCCCTTTCGCTTGACGGAGGAAGTCGAGCTAAGCAGTGATTGGTTGAGCGGCGTGTCAATCAGCAGCGATTTCTTTTAGCTAGGCGGGACTTCGGCCGGGAATAACAGTGCTGAAGCTCTGGTGTCTCCTGTAGTCACTACACGGTTAACTAGTTTAGTTCAGTGTTTTTCGTAATGGGCCGTCTGAAACATACGCGTCCAAATAAGAGCAGAGGAGCCGATTCGAGGGGGAAAGTAAACGTCGCAGCTCCCGGCCCGAGAAAGAGCCGCAGCATGACTCCAATGAGGACCTCTAGTGCGTAAGCGTTAGCTGAAAAAGCTAACCTGCATTAATAAACAAACTGACAGCTAGGCTAGCTAGTTAACCAGCCGTTACTAACTAGCTAAGCGCTGCTTACTGATTTCATTACCGAGGTGTTGTAGAAATACTGGTTTAATTTCTAATTTGAGTCTTAAATATCTGATAATAACGCTTGGCTGAAGAACTCTAATGAGAAAGTGCCAGACTGTGGAGGCTGTAATGGTTACTGTATTCTATTTGATTTATTTCAGCAGATCTGCCGTCATATTTACATAAAACGCGGCGGAATAATGGCTTGGGCCTTCAAGGAAGGTAAGAAGCTATGGTAGCTTGGTAAGAAAAAAGTTTCACTGCTTTTGTAATGTTTTAATGTTCCACAGAGGAGTAATGAAGCTACATGGAAGACGTTTCGAAGGCCGTAGAGTTTACAGTAAGGTAGGTTACCTGTAACAGATCGGCTTCACTTTTTACAGGCCATCCAAAACCGTGTCCGTTTACATCTTGTGTGTTAAAACCAGGGAATAGGGACTCCCAGCGCCAAGGACCCCAGCCAAGACAGCACAAGTTGGGTTTGAAGCTTTTTTTAGTCAAAGTATTACAATTTGTTCACGAGTTCCAGCTCTGTACACTCAGTTGTTACTTGATTAGGTACACCTGTTTTGTATCTGCCCTCATTGTCTTCTTATCATATAGGTGGACTTTGTAGTTCTGTAATTACAGAGTGTAGTCCATGTGTTTCTCTGCTTAATGTGTTAGCTCCTCTTTCCGTCCGTTCGGTCATGAATGGTCAGGACCATCACAGAGCAGGTTTCATTTGGGGGGGGGGTGGATCATTCTCATCAGTGCAGTGATACTGATATGGTGACAGCATGTTGGTCTGTATGTGTTGCAGTGTTTCACAAGTTTTTAAAGTCAGTCTCCCAACTGGACTAAGAAAAGTCCACCTGCCAGAAATATCCATCAAAAACTGACCACTGATGAAGAGCTAGAGCAGTGTTTCAGAATTCATACCCACTGCCCTCCATGTTTTACTGTTTTCCCTGCTCCAAAACACATGATTGAACTAAAAAGTTAATTAGCAAGTCATTTCTGAGTTGAATTGGGTGTTTTAGAGCAGGAAAACCCACAAATATGCAGGGCAGATGGTACTGCATGTCCAGGGTTTGGAACATGTGGACTAGAGGATAACTAATACAAACTGTGCAACAGTAGATGAGCTACTGTCTCTAACTTTACAGCAAGGTAGCTGTGTCTTAAAGAGTGGACAGGAAGTGGATAGTGTGTAAAAACGTCAGCAATACGGCTGTGTCTGATCCACTTATACCAGCATAACACCCACTAACTCATATGTCAGAGTCACTGCAGTGCTGAAAATGATCCACCATATAAATAATACCTGCTCTGTTGTGGTCCTGTGGGGGTCCCATTGATGAATGGAGTAAATGGGGGCTTCCAAAGCATGCAGAGAAACAGATGGACTACAGTCTGTAAAGGTGGAACTGCACAGTGCACCAGTGAGTGTAGACATAAGGTAGGTGTACCTAATAAATTGCCTAATGAGTGTGTATGACTTATCCAAATGTAAAGCTCCACTCTGTTACAATTCAGGTATGATTATGCCCTCTGGTGTGTCCAGCTTTTTGTTGGATTGTATGGATTCGGACTCGGACACAGAGGAGACACTTCCTTCCATTGAGCTGGTTCGCAAAGCTGGTAGTTATGGTATGCAGTTGTCCTGCTGGTACTGATAGAATCTTTTCTGCTGTATAAAAAGCAGATTGGTTTATGAAAATGAAAATGTTTTGCATTGTTGGCTTTAATAGCAACTGTTGAGAAAATCCTGAAAAATGATTGTCCTTCTTTCTGCTTTTCTTAGATGAGGGTACAGGTTTGGTCAGTGAAGATGAAGTACTGCACCGCCATGTTAAGAATTCGACTCTTCTCGACCTCAGTCACGCGATGGATATAGCCATGCAACAACCTCCAAACCTCTCCTCCATTCTAGGTAATGCATGCAATGATGGGTTCTATTCTATTCACAGATATGATTGTGTGGGCTTCTGACTATCTTTATTCAGAATAGTCCAGAAAAACAGTGTCAGCCGTGCCAAAGTCAAAACTTACCATCCCAAATATTAAACTGCTTTGTTTACAATATATTTTTTCGAATTTTTAACTACCATATTACAGATTCACATAGCAACACACACACATTAGCTCACATGCATACGCACACAGAAGTGTCCCAAAATGCTTTAAACATCGCTCTACACGCTATTTTTTCATCCATGGGATGGCGTGGTCTGGAGCCCTGGGATATATAAACATTCCTGATACCACTAGCCTACATGATGTTGAACTGTTGAAATTATATGGACAATTACAAGGGTTCCAAACTTGGATTTGGAAATTTAGAATCCGGTCACAGCAGCTGACAGACAATATTCTCAGTACTTTTGGTCATTTTATAGACACTTCAGATATTTATAGATACTTTATAGTTCTAAGAAACACCCCAACAACAAAATCCCCAGTTACCAAATTCACTGCATGAAAAGTTGGACTGGACTGTTATATGTACAAACTTTTGCTTTTTAACTTGAACATGCAATAATTATTTAATAATGTTTATTTAATAATTCAAACCAAACATCAAAATATAATTTTTACTTTGGACACTTACTTTATATCAAAATTAAAGGGTTCATATCATGGAAAAACAAAAATTTTCATGCTTTTTTTTTTGAGATACAGGCTTTTGAAGTAATATGTAAACGTTGTTAGAAAGGTTTAAAAAGGTACTATTCACTACCCAGTCCACACAGTCCATTTATGGAAATAAAACTACAAAAACAGCCTTTTTTAAATGTACTGTTTCTATGATGTTGCAAGAACCAACTCTAAAACCACACTAATGCTATAACTGGACCTCAGGAGAACAAATAAAACACAGTTCCTCCCATTTAAATGAGCTGGGAAAGCCCAATTAGGAGTAATATCTGGTGCTGGACATGTTAGAACAATCCCTACTAATAGTTGAGTAGTTGAGTAGTTGAATTCTGCCACATGGCGACTTTTTATATTACAGATTTTATTGGGTTAAAAATTAAAATCCTTTGTTATTCAAACACTCTCCCAGTGCAACACACGTTAAAAAAAGGCAAAACCAGCTGCTCTCTACATTAACACAATCCATTTTTAGATGCACCTTTTATGAGATTTTACTTCGTCAGCAGTTGTTCTGTCAGTTGACGATGTATGGATGTTTTTAATCATTTTACCTGCAATTTTACTGTGCTACCACCAGGGGGCTCTACATAAGTAGGAGTAGAAATGGTTTTAAATATATGCACAAGAAAAAACAAAACTGCATTCACATGGTTGAAAAATGAGAGCCCTGGTTGCTGAAAGTATTATGAGGTAAATGTTTTATGACTACATATGAAACAGTCTCACTGCTTAATTGCTCTGTTCCCACAGAGCTCTCACCTGTACTTCATGGGCAAGCTGCAAAGGAGTGGTTTTGTCTGTCACCCCCTCAGCCTGTGTCACCTCTTAGGTAAAGTGGTCATGTGTTTTCACTGCTTCATTCCTCTCTGTATAATGTTTTGCTAACTTTTAAATGTCTATAGGGATTTTGAGAGGTTAAACCTAGGCCAGTTATGTGCTATTCAGTGTTTCAAGCCTTATAATTTATAGGATATAAATAATTTCAACAGTTCAACAAGTCTTGGGCATGTTTCAGAATGATCTGATCTCTTTTTTTCCCCTACAGAGGTTTTTTAGTGGACATTACAGATGCACCAGGAAGCTATATTTGGAAATGATGTGTTTACTTATTGAATGATTGACCTCTTCAAGCTATTTAAACAAATGACTAGAATTCTTAGGATGATAAACTGAGTTTGGCATATGAATTTATCCATCCATTTAAGCTGGCCTGTGAAATATTGAATATTTTTAGTTATAAGTATTTGCCAGCTGTTTTCAGACATTGTTGAGTATGATGTTTTTATTAGCCTACGTTGCTAGGAATAAAACTTTGAACTTGAAATTCCACAGATATAATTTCTGCATTGTTAAATGGTTAGGATGTATACAAAATTGTAGAGTGTTTTGATGTGCAATGTTCCGTTCTAGAGAAACTTAAGAGAGTCACAATTGTTCACAGTGATGGATATAGGAACCAGACATCTGAAGCGTATAAGGGCTCTTAAAGCAACCTTACAAAAAGTGATTACATGAAAGGGTTATAAATACACTGTCTGATATGAGACATTGTTTCGTGATAATTTTGAGGTTTTGGCCTAACAGGTGTATTTTCTTTTATCAATTCATGGCAGAGCGGTACATGCAGGGTGTTGTACAGGTGTTGTTTTTTTTTTTCTCAGATATACCTCTATTTTACCTCTGAACATTGCATATAACATTTAGGAAGACACATATAGGTGCACTGGTGGCTTTGGATAGTAAGTAAAGTGGTTATATTTGTGTTGTAGACATCACAATCCCTGGTTATCAGCGTCACTGTAAAGAAACCTGTCGATTGAGATTTCTCTGCAATGAACCATTTCAGATCAAACCGCTTTGAATGACTTTGACATCCTAACTGCTGAATTATGCAGGAATTTTGAAATACCTGTGTAATTCCCTTTTAAGGCCCGGAACAAGGATCTTTTGTAGGCCCAAGTGCAAAATAAAGTTAATTGGACCCCTTATGCAAAATGTATGTTCTAGTTTATTTGTTATTGATATGTCTGGCCTTCTAATGTATGCTAATTGTCGACTATATTATCATATCTACCCATAAACGCTGATCCCCATGCAAAGGCTATGATCAATTTGTTTTGACTTAAAATATCACTTGAATATTTAACTTTAAAAAAAAAATTGGCTAAACTTTGTTGCTTTTTTCGTAGCTCCTCACCTTTAACTACATCAGCATCAACAAAGAATACAGCAGGTATTCACCTTTCCCTTTGACTCTCTGCCCTGTTTCTGCAGGATGGTGTAGATTGCAGGAATTGCATTTAAATGCTGAATTTGTTCTGCATGCAGGAAGCGACTTCAAAACATTTGGAGCTGAAGAAAAGACTCCTGAAACGAAGAGGGTTGTTGTTCTTTCTCCTGTTGTGAAAAGAAGGGTAATAATCCTGTTTTGAAATTACTCAACATGCTCAAACATGCCTGCATTGGCTCATTAAGGACTGAATATTTGTCTGATGGAAGGAAGGAAACTCTTATGAATGCATAGGCAATGAGGCAAAAGAGCAAGAGCAGCGTCCTCCCCTTTTTTTTAATATTTACTATGACTGTTTAAAAAAGCTGTTTACTATTTAGTAAATCACAAGAGCTGTTGTTTTTTTTAATTTTTATTTTTTTATTATTAATATAATTTTTTTTAAACAGTAAAATGGAGTTTATGTTAGTAAATCTGTCCTTAATAGTTATTCCCCATTTATTTGTCATTGTAGAACAACAAACAACACATTGTTAAACAAGCTAAATCTAAAGCCGGGGCTTATGTATACTATTGGGAGTTACATTAGCTAGCATTAGGTAGCTAGTTGGCATTAGACAACTAATAGGTTAGCTTATGCAGCCTGTAAACCAGTGATCTCTTGAATGTTGGACCTTTTTTCTGTCAGGCAAATATTAGCGTAACTCAGATTGACATTAACATGAGTAGCTTTGTCTAAACTTTTTAGTCTTGCTTCAGTAACTTTATGTACTAATATTTTTACTTGTATTCAGGTTAACGGTCACTACAGTAGTAGTGGTCTTATTTAAAACCTTAAACCCTGAGAGCCCATATGTCGGCCCACGCTTTAGTTTCTGACTGTCATTGCTACATAACTTCTATGTTTCATAGTAGATATTAAATCATTTATACAAATTACTGAATAACTCTTTATTGTCCGTTTATTTTTATATTTATATGAATGTAATATTTTAAGCTTAATGACAATGAAATGTAGGGTTCAAGGTTATGTAGGGATTTTCATTATTCTTTCCATCACTGGCATTGGCTCAAAAAGGCTAGCTATTTAGCAGCACATTAACTGTTCCAGTGTCATTGAGACTAAGGTGCTAAAATGTGAAATATGCTATTCCTTCACTTAGCCTCTGACTGGACGAGACAAGCCCATAAAATGCAGAAAGGTGACATTCAACGACATTGTGAGCACACGAGACATAACAGTGCTTAATCCTCAAGTGGAATCTCAGAGCCGAGCCTGTGATGTGCAGAAGACTAAACTAAGCGGGAACGCCTTGAGCGGCGTGAGGGAAGAGCTGATGGAGCCCCAGGAGTTTTCCTCAGAGACAGCTAAGTTTTTTGACTTTGCTGATGAAAATGAGAAACAACTTTTCTTCCAAAGATTGAAAAAGACTTACACCTTCCACTTCCCGACCAAACCGGTAAGTAGGGGTCTCAGAAATATTCTGTTTGCTGTACTGTGACTTGATTGGTTTCATTCCTGGAGGACCACAGATCTGCTAATTGCAGCTCTGACACTTTTGCTGATAATTGACTTGTTAATTAGCTGATAACGTGAATCCAGTGAGGATTGTGTAGTAGAGATGCACAATCAGAAACAGCAGGGTTTTGCTCCGAACACGTTATTGGCAATCAGCCATTCATTTATAGTATTTAAATAGGGACCTATTTTTATGTACAAATTCAAAATGCCAGTTTGGGCCACTAAAGAGCAAATGTTATTTTCAGTACTGTGCAAAAGTCGGAGACCATCTTTCATTTAATTAATTTCTAGTCAAAATGGCCAAGTACAAGTTATTCTCCAAAGCTCTGTCTTAGAAGATTGTGTTTTCTTCTCCTCTCAATCCAGCATTTAGTGATGTTGAGGGCTGAACTGGTTTTTGTCTCTTTCCTTTTCTTAGTAAGGGCTTCCTGACAGCTACACATCCTTTCAGACCCATAGCGCTAAGTCATCTTCTCACAGTGGGAGGATGGAGAGAAACACCTGTGGATGTTTTCAGATCTGAAGCAGCTTGATTTTCTCCTCTCTCTCAGAGATGAAACTTAAGTTCTGTTTATCTGTTTATCTGGACAATGTTAGTCGTCTATCAGGTCTTGCATGGTTATTAGGAGTCCCATCTTTATCTACATCCTGTAGTCATTTTTTTTTTTTTTAACGGTTTTGGAAACTCCTGTTTTTTTTCACTTTGACTTTCCTCATCCTTCTGCAAGTGGATTATCTTATAACTAATTTACTCAGAAGTATCTGTTGAAAATTTTGACTGGAAATTTAATGAATGAAATGCAGTCTCACATTTATACTGTATATTGTGGCTAATGGAAAGTACTAGAACTGTGCTAGTATGTTTCATGTGTTCATTTAGCTGCTTCAGGTTAAAATATGGCTGTAAAGAAATCTGCATGTGCCATAAAAACTCCTTATCTGTGCACCATTACTGTGTATCATTGGGGTCTGTTAGGACTAGAATGGGAGAAATCTCTTGCCTCTGAAGTACATGTTGAGGGAATGTGTTATTTGCTACAATAAGCTGTAAGCTGTACATTTCTGCTTGTTTGTTCCCTCTAGATTACCTTCACAGACTTTCCCCAGACTGAGGATGTCAAAAGTTAAGGTAGGCGGAGGGTCTCGTCTGTTTCGTGTGGTGTGTTGTGTTGAGATGTTAAGAGGTATTTACAACCTGTTCCAGCAGAGGGCAACCTAATCTGTAGTAAACATGACACCATTGCACGTCTTTCATGTGCATAACGCTTTAGGCTTCCATTGGCAGTAAATCGGGAAATCAAAACAGATTTCTGGAAGTACCATGGTCATAGCTAAATCTGCTCAGAGCAAAAACAAAGTCAAAGATGCTTTGCTTTCTGTTGCTCATTCATGAAAGCGGCATCTTAAACAGCCCAATAAGAAGTGCAGAAATTAAGTGGAAGTCCTTCCACAAACATATTTAGTGATGCAAATTTTTCTACAGAATTATGCAAAGTCTAGATACTGACAAGTTGCATTGTCTTTATTTATACTAACAGTTTATGACTTCAGCAAAGAAGACTGACGCACCATGAGTTGAGAGTTCAGTGGAATTCAAATGAGTCAGATTCTAAACATGGAAGAGAGAACATTTATTTATTGTGATAAAAAGTTGACAGCGCTTCCTAAGAGAAATGTTTCTCTACTGAAGCAGGGTTTTGAAAATGGCCTGCAATTATTCTGAATGATGCTTTTTCATTTGGAAATAATACATTGTTTTGTGTCCTGTTGTCTTGATTGTTATATTTTGCATTTTTTAAGGAGAAAAATGAATTTTGAAATGTCTTTAAAATTAATATGTGGATGTTCACTTGTCTTTTTTTTGTCTGACTGCTGGCGTAGTGGTGTCATTGTGGAAAAAAAGAATTTCCTGTAAGAGAAAATGAAATTACCAAGATGAATAAATAAAATTATAAAAATTAACCCCCAGCATTGATTGTGTTGATGTATTTGAGTTTGTTTCCTTTCTTTTTTTTTCTTTTAAACTGCCCCAGACCATAATAAGCATGATGTTTTTACATACTTTGTTGGTGGATTTTGGGGAAATGTGGGCAAAATAGCGAACACAGCTTTTTAAAGGTTATAAAATTCTTAGTGTGTTTTTTAAGTTTCATTTTGTTTGACATTAGCAAGTCTAACACACACTATGCAAAAAACAATACGGAACCCTGCACAAAATGGTGTCATTGATTTCCTGTCCCTAACGCCTGATCAAACTCATAAAAGGCTTAGGAGGGGGTCTGCAAGACCGAGTTGAGTCCATTACTTTAAATGGAGTAAATGGGGCTGATGTGTGAATAATGCTTAAAAAAAGAGTGGTGAAAATTGAAGCCCATGGCTGCAATTTTGTCAGATTTGTTTTTGCTGTCATTTTTTAGATCACATCGTTGGTCATGAAGGGGGAAAACATCACAGCTCTGATATTTATTTGGAAGATAAAGCTACATTTAAAAATCAAAAGTATGCATAAATAGAATGCTTTAAATAAAGATTTTAACTTTTTTTTTTAGGGTAGGGCAAATGACAAAACGATAAAATGTGTAATTTTAACTTTTAAAATAAAAATTTGATGTGCACTGTTAGAGATAAAGGTACAGTGTAAATGTGCCTCAAAGGTACAACAGTGGTTTTAAGATCCAACTGTGCACCTTACGGTTTTCAAAGTGGGAAAAGTACATATTTGTATCTTTTCATAAGCTAATGTTTTAAAACAATAAAATAAAAAGCCTGGAGACGAGACGGGGTGTGTGGAGTCAATACAACTTTAAAAATATTTCAGTGGATTGTGGCACAATTGGTATGGTATTCCCTAACTAAAGGTACTGAGATGTACCACCCAGGTGACGGTTCCGTACCTTGCTGTGAAAACTGCGAAAAACAGCCCATTTTGAATGTATTGTTTCATGTGACGTAATGATAATAAACACATTTACATATAATTTACATACTCTGACCTACAGCAGTTTAGCTCCGCCCCCTCAATCTGAAGTTAGAAGTAGTGTTTCAGCCCGGACTGCTTTTTGAATTATGTGCCATACAGGGCAGCCAATCAAAACACGTCAATTTACATATACCAGTGTCCAATGCGCGGTTAAAACAACCCGCTTAATTCTAAAGGATTAAAGAGGTCGAAAATAAAATACATGAGCAATGCTTTTGGTACATCACCCTACACAGATCATGACATCAGGGGAGTGATCTAAAATAGAAAACTGCGGGATAAAGATGCTGTGTGTTGTTGCCTAACTGTTTTGGCACGGAATTCAAACCGTGTCCGGTAGTCGAGCGCTAAACACGGACTCGCTTCGTTGTTTTTGTAATGGATCTGATTCCGCATGTCCTGCTTTCGCAGGCAGAACTCCGCGAACTGAAGTTTAACCCCAAAACATCAACACGGCGCTTCTGGCCGACCACGTGGTCTCACCCAAGAATAGCAGCCAATGGGCGAGCCGAGCAGTGGACGGTGGCGTTTCTAAGCAGCTCGTGTGACTAATGCCTGTCATATGACTAGGCCACAAATGGAGTCAGGTTCGAGGAGCGGAGTATGTCTCAGAAACTGAGCAGATAAAGGGGGACTTTTTTTTAATGTCGATAAAAGTGGGTCCAATATGCCTCCCACGCTCTTCCACAAACTGTTCAACAAAAGAAACGCCTTTTCGCCGCCGCCGAAATGCAACAAGGACGACCCCGCGTTCAGGTACGTGTCTCTCCTCGTTGGCTGCATGGAAGCATCGAGCTAATCGTAACCTATATAACAGCGAAAGAGCTGGAAAGAGAGCTCTCTCCCTCTCTGTCACGCGTATTTGATTTCAAGTGTACCGAAGTGCTTCGTACGTAATGCGTTGTAGCTGTACGCGTTTTAAAAGATGTATTAGCCTCCCCTGACACAAAGTGGCTAACTCGGCTAGCTGGCGTGCTAGTCTTCGGGGTTTGCTGTGTGCTTTTGTTGACGGCGCTGAAGCTGGGAGGGCTGAGAGCTGCTGCTGCTGCTGCAGGGGGACTGTAGCAACGAAAGAGGGCAAGTGTTTAAGAAAAAGAGCGACTACACTCGTGAATAGTGAACATTCTGAGTCTAAAAACGCAAAAGAGCGAAATGGTCTGTGAGGAAGACGTGGCTTGTTGCTTTTATTTGGACGTGTAAGGTGAGTGAAGCCGTCTGGCGAGCAGAAAACAGTGCAGCTGAGAGGGTGCGATAAGTTGACGGTTGGCTCAGTTACCTGAACGAGGCACGTGACTCGGCTGGCTGATGGAGGCTCAGTCTTAACGCGATCCTAAATAAATGAATAATGACGGTGGGCTCTTTTAATCCATGTTGACTCGTTTTACTCAAGAAAAAGAATACGCAAGCCTTGGTGGTCTGTCTGTCAGAGCATCTGGAGCGAGAGTTCAGGAGGGGTCTCTAGTCACATCCACGGAGGGCTGCAGCTATTCATTCATATCAAGCAGAATTTTGACACGCACACATTTTGAGTTATAAACTGTACCTGCTCATGGTTGAGATGAAGACCTGAAGCCTAAAGGTGGACGATATGGCAAAAATATATATTATGGTACTTTTTTACTCTACACAGTATGTCACGATATTTATATTTTCAGATATCTGATCAGTTTGAACAGAGAAAAATGTTATGTTTTACAATTACCATCAAAAACTGAACACAATGATTTTTACTCAATATTTGGCTCACTGCATTGCACTGTGTCAACTTAAATGGTACTAATGATGTGTTCAGAAAACCGCATTGTATTGTGCTGTGCCATAATTTATTATGAGAATATATATATATAATATATATATATAATATATATATATATATATATATATATATATAATATTTTGTCATATTGCCTCTGTCCAATCAAAACCACTCCAACCCTTTGCGGATAAGATTATTTATTATTATTAGGTTTAGTTGGTGTTCTAGTGCAGATCAGCACACTCTGCTGGCTCCAGCCCTCAGTTCCCTACCCCTGCTATATATAGTGCAATATATACAAGATACAAAAACAATACAGGCTGTACAAAACAAAGTTCATTACACTGTTGCTCTTAACATGCTCATCAGTAGAAAATCACCCCAGTTAAAATGCCACATATACAGCACTAAGTAGTTTTCAGATTCTTGAAATTATTCTTTAATTCAGATTTTTCGAGCTTCAATCATAGACCAGAATAAGAGCTAGATTGCCATTGTACAGACCTAAAAATGACAGGTGAATGACCAGAGTTAAAGGTAAGGAGAATTTAACTCTGTTGTTTAGGAGCTGTGGATGTGCGATCTAATTTAAACACCCTTGGTAAACACAGCTGGCACAGAGCTAACGCAGAGAGCCTAAGCGCTGTGTGGTGGGAGATTTGAACGCTTTCAGTGTAGAAAATTTATTCATAGCATCCTTGAGACAGTTCATATATTTTGTCATGTAACGTTTTGGGAAGAATGCAGGCAAAACTCTCATTCTCATGTTAGAGGTGCGTTTTATTATCGTTATGGATGTGATAAGCTTTGCGGCCTTTTGGGATTCTACACATTTTAAAAATTAAAAAAAACATATATATGAGGTTAATTGGCATTACAGATGTGTCTGTAGCAGTCCTCCACAGATGTTAGTTATGGATCTCTTTTATTAAGTAATTAAAACAGAAATTGGGAATGAGTACAGAAAGGAAATACCTGAAATCCCAAACTGGACATCTTATTTATCACACACACCTCTAATTTGCAATCATTATTTTTTTTTCCCTCCTGTGTACAAAGAAACTCAAAAACAACTGTGTAGTGAGGCTTTCTGGTACTCAAAAGCACAAATTTTGAGGTTATGCAATTCCCTGTTTTTATGTGTTATGACGAACAGATGGATTTTTGTGCACTTTCTTCCTGAATGGTTCACACGGCAACCAAATCTTCCAAATGTTTTATGAAATTTCTTCTGTTACCTATGAATACATCTGATGAAGCCTGGTCAAAAGGGTTTAGATGTCACTACAGTTGTTCCATTTGTGATTACTAATATGATTAGTAATGTCTTCAGTATTTTTGGAATATATGTAAGTGACAATGAATTGCTCAGATCCGTGTTTTTACTTCATCATAGAATCTGTAGAAACTCTGTGTCCTATTTAGTGGCATTATTAAGACACCTGCTGAATGACACGCCTATAGAAAGTACCCTGTAAATCTCAGAAGAACTGGTTGAAGGCCTTTATGCTGAATGAAATGGAGATTTCAGATGTGTTGTGCTGTGTAGGTAAGCATGAGCTTGACTAAGCATGACTGAGTCAGGGTTCTAGGACCTCTCTGCACAAACAGTGGTGGGTTGTGACTCTTTGTCTGTGATCTGGATACTGTGAGGGTCGTGTAAACAGGGAAAGGATAGTGTGTCCAAGTTGCCTCCAGCCTGGTTCTGAAAAGACTCTAAACCACACTGGCAAGTATTGTTGAACCTTTGTCTTTTTAGATTCATGTTTTGAAACTTTATATACCCAACTGATAGATTTTACAAAAACATACTAGAATAGAAATTAAACATATTTGGACCTGTTCTCCTGTTGTCTGTAAAACTACACTGAGGTACACCTGCCCTGCTGAGTGTGTAAATGATGCTCTCATGGTTTTAAGTTGAAGTAAATGCAGTAGTAATTGTAATTGATCTTATATGTAGGATGAAGTTGCAGTAGACATCTGATCCGTGCTTATCATCAAGCCCTTACTGAGTTGAAGTAGGTGTGTTGAAGCAGTGACAGCACTAAAATGTGCAGTGCTATTGGAAACTATGCTGTAAACAAGAGGTTCCCAAACCAGCCCTAATGCCGCTTCCTCTGCAGTCTGTGTTTTTTCTCTGAACTCCTAACACGCCTTCACCAGGTATTCCAGGTGTTCTTAATGGCCTGAGCCATTGAGAGTTTCCCTTCAGAAGGCACCACAATGTTGGATGGTGAAGTCGCTTACATAGAACATGCAGCATGAACTGCGAGTTGTGACATCAACACTATTTTCATCATGGTGGAGGATAGCAGCGAGCTGTCCAACAATGGAAAGCAGTCAGATAAACTGTATAAATGTAATGAATAGTAATTGAGTTCAAAACACCACTAAAATCGGCCAAAACCGATAGACGTCAGTTAGCTAATTAACTACAGCGCCCATTTCACATCCTCAGTGTTCTATTGGTCTCTCACATAGATCACACGGACATTCACGTTGGGTGAATGAGTTCGTCCTCGGAGAAAAGTACTGCCCCATTTGCTCTTGCAAGCAGCATTGGTATAGCCAGGAACTGGTTTAGAGCAAAAGCCAGGAGAACTGTTTAGAGAACCACTGCTCTAGACTGGGGATGTGCATGGGTATTTGAGTATTCTGTGAACCGCTCAAGGTGCCGTATTCCATTACGATAATCACTGGTGGCTCATCATCCACTGAGAAGAAAAGACCTTATGTAAGAGGACGAGCCCTCATCAGCAGCCGGTGTCGTACCAGTTAGCTGTGGTTTTAGTTCTCATCTGAAGAGGTAGCTTCCATTACTTATCTAACATGGAAAACTACTCATATCCCACTTCAGTGTTAAAATTAGTAGGAATGCACTCTAGACGTCATTTGTAGACAATAGCTTGTGCGTTTTTTACTCCTTTTACATATTCCTTTCTTTGAGGATAATAAAACAAAGACATACAGAGAGTAATCCTGCATGCAAGTGTGTCCAGCATGAGTGTTTGCTGTTAATGTATCCAAGCAGCAGAGATACAGCGCTTAGTGGTTTAAGACTCATGCATGGCATTAGTTATGATGCTCTGGCCTGTACATGAAAGCATATCACTGGCATGAGGGCTTCATTTATTTAGCTTTGTGCTTTTTATGACTTATAAAAGGTGATTATGTAGCCCGTGATTTATGTTCATTACTGCTATTTTAGATGCTTGCGCATCAGACTCATTTGATCTGACCAGGTCACTGTGGTTATCATCGCAGCGCAATGTCTCAAGTTAAGAAGAGTAATATTAATATACATGGAAAAAAGTTCATTGCGTAGCTAACAACTATAAAAATAGCCATCTTGAAGTCTTAATTTTGAGTCTAATTGTGATTTCATAAGTGACAGTAAAATACAGTGTGGAACCACAAATTTTGAGGCCGTTGGTTGATTTAGACTTGCAGATTGACTGAGTGCTAATTGGAAGGGTATATGCCTCAATTACTTGTTGGCCAGGCAAACCTCAGATGCCAAACATCTCTTGGCTGATGAGCTGCATGTGGGGTTAAAGGGTAAATTGTGTAAACTATCCCTTTAAGGTAACTTGAAGGGGCACCACATTGCTATTCATCAAGACTCAGGGTTGCACTGTACTGGAGAATTCCAGTGAGGGCAGCTAAATAGGTGACCCCACCCTAAGAAAAGCCCAAAGCACTGCTCACATTTCTTTGGCTCAGGGAGACACAGGACAGCATACTGCACATCGTTCGTATCGAGCCAAGGGCTTTTGTGTGCCCTGCTGTTCTGCCATTGGCCTCATGTCAAACGTAGGGCTCTGCATCTTTTCTTGGCACACATGGAGCCAGTTAGCTTGAGTTAGGGCTGGGCAATATGACTGCATTTAATCATATTGTGATAAATTACATTGTAATATGCTTTTCTACACATACCATAGATATCAGTACTCAAGAATCCTGACTAACCACATGTTTCATTAAAAATGACAGAATTAGGCCTGATTTATTGGATTTAGTGCAGTGCAGTATGTTAAAACGGTGAATCAAAATCATTGAAGTAATTTTAAAAAATGTGGCACTTCTAGGGCGTCCTCTCTATTCCAGCTTCTCAAACTTCAGAAATGAAGAGTAATCCCCCTCTCCCCCACCCCAAAGTATTACTTTAAATGTTACCCGTTTACTATGTGGAAACGCAGGTTGATGCAAAAAGTATCTTTAATGCAAGCCGTCCTGCTGCCTTCCTCATTATGAAAGATATATCAATTACAACAGTCTCTTACAACATGCTTAAGTAAGAGTGTCCATGCACAACCAGCAACTTGCTGGCCTCGACTTCGAGAGAAGTGGACATCTGAGTCATCTATCAGATCTCACGGTTTCGTGGTGGTAATTTTAGACATCACAAGCAGCTCCTTTGCGAGTAGCTGCGTTTCATAGTACCATGTCCCATGATGTGCAAAGCCTCATTCATCAAGGTGTTGTGGCATGTTTGACAGAGGCTTCAAAACAGCCACCTGGAAAACGAAGATGCAGCTCGAGCTACATCTCCCCTATAGAAACGGACATGGCTAAAACAGACTCATAATACCAGTGCAAAATTAAAGTTACAAATTGTGGCATAAGCTGGTGTGGAAGATTTAAGTGTGCAACTGTGCTTCCCAGTGCTAATACTGCTTCCCTTCATGTTCCACTCAGTGCTATTTAAAGTCGTCCCGAGACTTCTTAGAACTGTAGGATCATGGTAAAGAAACAGTTTAGCATAATGTTTCACTACTCCTTTTTACCCTTGGTCTCCTTTGTGTTAACCGATGCGTTTTCTTCCCTGTTGTAGATGGTATATCTCTTTTTTTTTCTTCTTAAAGATTTTAGCTGCAGTAAACATTTTATGATTAGACCATGGCTGATAGTATGGCTGATAGTATGCCTGATGACATATAGGCCTAAGTCTGATTTTGCCCACAGGGCTACATATCCCTTATTGATGTTAAATGGTGTTAGCCTAGTTGAGTGTTTGTTGTGCACGTCTGTGGTCATAATATTGAGGGTATGTGTGAGACTTGGCCTTATCATGTTTACAGAAACAGCTGCTTGGATTGAACATTTTCTTGTTGTGTTGATTAGACATCCTTTAGATTTTAATGTCCGTTGGCTGTAAATCAAAGGGTGTTGAATTTGGTCTCCTAAATAAGACAAAATAAACTTTTACAACCATCTTGGTGCGCCGAAAGAACAGCAAGGTGCACTTGAGCAAGGTTAATATTAATTGGAGAGCATGGCTAGACAGTGAAAGAACTCTATCTGCCACTCATCCAAGTCACAACACCTTTGTCGCGACCTACATCTGGAGACTTGGCAGTACCATGGAACAATGATAACTAAGATGATGTGTGTGATTCATAACAGGTTGCTTTAGTCTGAGGCACTTTCAACTTGACCACTCCTGGAATGTCTCGGTGTGACATCATCTGCCAGTGGTGGCTCATGTGAGTTTGGAATGCATCAGTCATCACCTGAAGCACGTTCCAGTTTTTGGAGTACAAGAAAAGTTTTCAGCATGGTCATTGCTGTAAGCTACAAAGCGAAGCTTAAAAAGACATGTCACTTGCAGCGTCTGTTACCGTTTTTATGGATCAGCATAAAAAATTGATGGCAGTCCTTCAGAGAGCAGGCAAAGCTGTGATTTGGGTGGAAAAAGATCAAGAATTCCCTTGAAGTACATCAAACAACCTTTAAGTAGCTGCAAGCAATGGGCGATATGGCAAAAATATAACACCACAATACTTTGACATCTTTACGATTGGTGATATTTAGTTTTGTTACAGGTTTGAACAGCTGGTACAGACAAAAAAGAAACAATTACTACAGTTAATTTTATTCAGCATTTTACATACAGCACAGCACTAAATCCAATCAACCAGGCCTAATTATGCTGTCTTTTTAGGAAACATGCGGTTGAACAATGTTCAAGTACCGTCATATCCACAGTATGCTCAGAAAATAAAATTATCATAATGCCCACCTCTGCCGTCTTATTTAGTGTCTTATTACACCTCATCCCCAACCCTACTGAATCACCCCAATTGCAAGCTTAAATCAGCTAAGTAATGTTCATATAGCCATTTTTGAGTTTTCATTCAAGACTGTTCCTCAGACTGGTTTTGCAGGAACTGTGGTTTCGCAGCAGGTGGTTTCGCAGGAGTGTCAGACTGGGTTCTTTCTGGGCCACAGCTCTGCAATGATTAGTGGTTTCCTTCTTGTAATACTGCAAACTCAGCTAATTAAGCCCTTGGTCATTAGCTAATGCGTTGAATCATGTGTGAAGGCAAGTTGCCGGCAAAAGTTGGGAAAATCGAACTCTTGACTGAGCGTTTCACCAACCGCTGGCCGTGATGGAGTCTGCACCTTTGGAAACAATGGAATATCCATTTTGCATTTGACTGCCTACCGTCATAATATAAAAACAGCATCATTGTTTTCACAGTGTACAGTAAGTATCTTCACCTATCACGTTTCTATATGAGTACTTCTGTGGATGTAGTCTGACAAAAATAAATTCCTTTAATCAAAATAAAGCAGGCCAATATTTCACCATGTCGTGTTATTAATTGGTTAGTACGTATGTAATATATTGCAGTGTGTAGCACTATAATTGCAATGCTGGTATTTTGTCCATATCGTGTAGCCTCGATTTGTGTGTGTGCTTTCTTGAGCGAATGAAGAAGGGCTAGTAGGCAGCTGCTTTCAGCTCTGCAACCCCCATCTAACCACCCCCCCACGCCCGCCAGAAAGCATGATTAGGCTGATCGTTCCTAGCGACCTAGAAGGGTTTCATTTTCATCCCGAAGTATTCCACAGTTGCAGCCAGGCCACAGACTGGAAAAATACCCGGTGCAGCCGTTCAAGATGATCCTAGCTAGCAGGCAACAATTGCATCACAGCCAGGATATTTTTTATGTAACTCTTGAGTCTCTCTGCACCTACCCCACCCTGCAGCTTCCATTTGAGCATGGAGCATTACAACCCCCTAGGTAAAATACAGGGGCTCAGCATCATGGGAGGAGATTTGGAGAGGAGGGGTGTTTCTTGCAGTCCGAGGGTTGCTGTCCTTGGGAGGGGGATTCGGATTAGGCGTCATCAAACTGGATGGCCCGAGCTCTCGCTTTCTTTAGTTTTGTTGCCGCAGCCAGTAGGGTTGCATCCATTCATCGGCCCTCGCAGAGATGCCTTTGTCCAGGCTGTATCCAACCCGACCCGGATGTCACCTGACAGTCTCATGTTGATTTGTGAATTTAGTTCAGTGCTATTCTTAGCAGCGCTCGCTCCAGTGAGAGAGAGGGCAAGCGCAGGGCCAAGGAAGAGCGAGGAGAGACACTGGCAGATCCACAACGATGCCCAGGTACCCGGCCACTCTTTCCCTGCTTGCGTCTGCTGCGCGTTTGGGCTTTGAATCCCTAATTTGAATTGGCGCTGTAGCAGGATGTCTGAAGCCAAGGGCTAGACGGAATGAATTGAGGTTGTGCGGGTGAATTGGTGTGACGATTTGTGTGGTTTGACTGGGTCAGTCATGTCCTGCTGCCTCTGGATTAGAGAGCGTTAGTTGTCTTTGGGGATTGGCTATAGCCATGACCGTCTTGCGTAACGTTGAGGAGGTTCTGGACAACTGCTCAAGGATTGGTTTGCTGCTCGACTGCTAGTACTATGGACTGATCAATCAGTTTGAATTATTTGCAAGTTTTAAATGACTAGTTCCTGATCAGATTGAGTTCAGTAGTTTTAGTTCAAATACAAAAACCTGACTAGTTAAACATTTAGTGAACCCAGTGGTCAGGATGAGAAGATATTTAGTTTATTTATACTGTTTAGTTTCTGGTTAGCTGGGTTTACATATTTCATGTTAGTGTGCTTCTAAGTTTTTATTACTTGTAGTGTTCATCCCTTGTGAACTTCGCAGTTTTCGTACTAATGTTCATCCAACCTGTAACAGCTGTGAGCAAGCTGTGAATAGAAGTTTCAGTGAATTCAGGTTGAGACGAGACAGATCTGACGTTTCAGAAGCGAAACCTGCTTTGCGGCAGGATTACCCAGTGCTTAGAAATATCTGTTCATTGTGGTTCAGCTGTATGTGGCATAGTATGTTTTAATCCACTGTGGGACTTTATTTCATATTTTTATTTTGCCTAGATTTCTGTATAATATGACGTGTCTAGTCTGTGTTTAACAGGCTGCTGCCTGATAGTGTAAGGTTTTTCTTGGCTTGGTTTAGGAATGCTGAATCCCCAAAGGCTGTGAGCTAAATTGTTTAAATGCAGCAGTGGGTGGACCCATCTCTGCCTAACTTTTTGTTTGGGGGGGAAGAAAACTCAAGCACATATTTCTTTGGTAAACTTATTTGCAAGAAAACTCAGCAGTAGCCAAATAGATTCCTTTGTTTAAGTGTTTTATATGGGGAACAGTCAACTGGGCCAACCTAATGTGACCAGTCATTTTTCACTTTGACATTGACTCTAGTGGAGCACATGATGTGGATATCCCAATTGGACAATGACTCCAAGGACCAAGAAGCTGAATGAGTGAAGGCGTGTGGAATGTAGTGTTGCCCATGGCGGTAAACAGCTATGTCCACCATGACGCCCGAGCAGAGTGCCCTCTGGTCCTTCTCTCGTCCATTCTGACGCAGGGGCCAGAAATAACACCAGCCTGTGATTTGGATGTTCCACACCTCCCCTTTCCCCTGCACCCTAGAACTCAATAAACAATGAGACCTCCTCAGGTTTATTCCACCTCCCTCCACCCACATGTTTTAGTGAAGGCCGTTTTTGACAGTGTGACGATTATATTGACCGATATTATAAATTCTTGAAAAATTTTAGTGTCTTAAAATCTGTTTTGGTGGCACAGTTTGCATACTTGTTGTGACTTAATCTGAAGATGGTATTTATACAATTATTAGTCTAGTATCTGGCTATAACAATGAGATGAATGTTCTGATTTAAATGAGTTAAAGCTAAATCTAAATCCTTATTTAATATTAGCTTTACCTGGTAGTGGTACTATTAAGTCAGTGGTTCTCAAAGTGGTCCTCGGGGATCCACACTTTTGCTCCAACCCAACTCGCAACACAGGGATTGAGCAAAAATGTAGACTGTCTGGATGTTCCTAAGGACCGGTTTGAGAACCAGTGCTTTGAGATTGTCAATGAGATCTGTGATTTTAAGCCAGTATGAATTTACTCTGTATGTGTAGTTTTTAGTTTGACAGTAATAATTGTGAAATTAATGGCTTTCTGTAGTTGAATGAATATGGAGGTAGTAGTAGCAACCTTTCAATTGGGGCTATATGTGGCAATTTTGGGGAAATGACTCGGATGCGAATTGTCCGGTCAGTTCTCTTATCTCTGTAATTACAGTAGAGAACCTTTTCTTGTAAAACTAACTCCCAGTAGAGCTTAAGATGTTTTGCTATTTGAATAACGTATATTTGACTAACCACACCTGTCCCTGGTAGGTTCCTCAGACAGACTAAAGCCCAAATCCTCATACTCTGTGATTTGGCTTCTGGCTATTGCGTCTCCCAGAACGAGCCCCATTCCTCACATTTGTTGCGGCTGCAGCTGGAATGACTGCAATGATGGCACTGCTGTTGGCATGCTAGGCCGCAACAATGCCAGCTGACAGCTCAGGAAAGCTTATTAGTCAGCTGTCAGTGTGTCCATCTTTTCTGATTGCTCCTGAGGCTGACTCGTGGAGACGGGTGGAGGAGTGGGATTGTGTAAAAGTGAAGTTGATCTGCATGTGCTGGAGCTTTGCCACGTTTTGCCTCACGTTCATATGTGTGTGCCCTGCAGCTGGCCCTCCCCCGAGCTGGAGCCCGGTCAGATCCGCCTCATCGTCTACCAGGACTGCGAGAGACGAGGCCGAAATGTCCTCTTCGACTCCAATGCCAAGAAGAGGAGTGCAGAAGACGCCTCGGTCACGGTGAGAATTCATTTTTCATATCTCTCCCTCTGTCTCTGACTCAAATGATTCACAGTCCTCTCAGGTTCGTAAGGCTTTATTGGCATAAATTGTACCTTCGATGGTGATTCAAGCCCCACTCAAGTCACATGTTGACTGACTTGCGACTCGCCTTAAACCCGCCCTTAACTGATTTGAGACTTATGACTTTCAGCGAAACATGGAACAACATTGAGTAAACTAGGACTGCCACCCTGAATGCGGTACAAGAATGAAAGCTTTCGTTTCCAGCCTTACATGGGTGACTTTGGGCTTTTTCTTTTCTGCGGTCATGCACAGTCATTACAGTAAAGCCATTCTTCCACAGCACACGGTGGCATCAGGTTGACTACGGCTTAAAATAACAAGCCTTTCATTATAGAAAAACCTTCGGTCTGATGGGCAAAGTGAAGCGCTACATTTGGTAAATGTGGTGTTTGAAGGAAGCTGTCAATCAACTTAAACGTTTGGCTAGCATATACTTTAGTTAGCAAGTATGCTAGCTAGCAAAATAGCTAATTAAGCTGAAGTTTTATGAAGTTACAGAATAAATTACTTTAAAACTTACAGCTGGATTAGCCATCATTCTAGCTAGGTAGCATACTTACTATTCAAACTATTAACTAACCGTTTCAAGTTGTTTTGCTTCTTTCCTTAAGTACTGCATTTACTGCCTGTAGCGCTTTGTTTACTCCATCAGACTGAAGATTTTTCCATAAGGAAAGGCCCAGTATTTGAGGCTGTGTCAAGGCTGCGTTTAGTAGGGCTTTGCTTTTGTAAAATGAAAAAACTGCAGCCAGTGTTGAGACTTAGCTAAAATTCTCTGCTTAGACTTGACCTGAGGCTCAACTCGCACCCCAGAGAGTCGAGACGTATCTCAGATTCTCGTTTCTGAATTGTACTTACACATTTAAACACCCCTCTCCCCAGTATGTCTGTATTTGTCGTTCAGAAGAAGTTAAGAAGCGTCAGGGAGTTTAGCCACCTCGCTTAGCTGCATCACACAGAGGTCCTGACCGGTTTGAACTGGAGGCCTTATCTCCAATAATAATAGCATCAGCTGACACTGAATGGGTAAGCATTCTTTAGCGTTCACATGACGGCCGCCGTGCTCTCCCTTTCTCACGTCTCCAGCTCGTTTGTCATCAGCTGTCATGAGGCTGCTGCAGGCTCTCTCCCTCTTGCGCGCACACACGCACACGCGCACACAAGGCTACTTGCGTACATACACACACACACACACACACACACACACACACATACCATAAAGCCAAAACAAAACAAAGTTATCTGGTAGTTCCATGTGTAGAGCCAGGCAAGTTCATTTCCTGCTTTGTGCTGTTCCATAAAAAGTAGAGCACGATATGAATAGTATAGTATAAAGCACAAAAAATAATGTAGAGTTGATTAAAGCTGTAATATGTAAAACACATATAAATGTATACTGGACTGTGCAAAAGTCAGAGACTTCCCTTTCATTTGTTTCATTTCCAGTCAAAACGACCTTTAAGTTATTCATTTTCCAGAGTCGGGGGAGGGAAGCTGAAAACATATTTAACAGAACATTACTCAAAAGCCTCAACAGCTAAATGTAATATCAGAGTTTTCAGTATTTAGTGTGTCCACCAAGCTGTATTATTATGGCTTCTATTCTTTTCAGGGAACTTCCTTTCTTTTTTATTATAAGAAATTTGCTGGGATATTTGTCTGCATCTCCAGAGTTCAGTCTTAGAAGTTAGTTGCACATTCTGCTTCTTGCAATCAAAGAAGCGTATTCAGGGATAATGAAGCCTGGACTAACCTGGGATGGTCAGTCCATAGTTCTGAGAAACACCAGCAGCTTCTTTTGCTTGATTTATTTTTCTCAGTAATAGCTTCTCAACAGCTACACATGCTTTTAGACCCACAGTGGTGTTGTTATTCCCTCTCCGTGGAAGGACGTGTGAAAACAGCAGAGGATTTTCTCCGCTTGCCAGGATGAAAGCGTTAAGTACTGTTTTTCTGATGATGACAGTTATGGTGGTCTACCAGGTCTTGCATGGTTGTTAGGAGTCCAATTTTCAGATTGTTTAAGATTTTTTTTTAAACTCCATTTTTGGAAATCAAGTTTTTTTCATGTATTTTTTTTTTCATTGACTTTCGCCTCATGCAAATGGATAATCATAATATTCAGAAATATCTCTTGAGAAACACACAGCTCATGCAGACTATTTTGACTGGAAATTAAATAAATAAATAGTGGCCTCTGATGTTTGCACAGCACTTTGTACATAGCACACACAACAAAATAATGTTTATTCTAAGTTGCCATGGTCAAGAAACAGAAATGAGAGTATAAATAATACAGCAGTCTGTTATCAGTATTGCATAAATGTACAGCAGTAATGCAAGTACCAGTAGCATGTGATGTCACACAAACTGTACCTACAGTGAGTTTGCTTTTCTGGTATAAAGAATGCTGGTTGAACTATATTCAGTCTATATTCACTGTAGTGTAAAGGTGTGAAGGGGCATTGCCAGTTGTGATAAACAGGTAATAAATAGTGTTCAGCTAACGTCGTTCTGAACAGCCTGTTGTAATGTTTTTGGGTGAGGCTGCAAGAGATCTGTGACTTGGAGCTGTGCTGCAGCTGCAATCACATGATGCTTTTTGGCAGAGGATCTTGTTCCTCCAGAGAGAGTGAGTGAGTGAGCGAGTGTGAGAGAGATAGAGACAGCGAGCGGGCGGGCGCGGTAGAGAGCGAGTAAGCAAACTGCTCCAGCTCACGAGTTGTTGAGGAAGTCATATGACCTGGGCTCACATGCTCTGCTGCTTTTGTGTGCTTGGTCAGGACACGAGGAGACGCTTGTTTGATGTGAGCCATTAGCAAAGCAGAGCAAAGCACGCATTCCACATCGCCTGGGCTCAGCAGAAAACCAAGCCTGCTCCGGCTTTACTTATTAACTCTGCCTCTTTATCAGTCTGCTTTATTTTAGTCCCTTTACATAACAGTTTGACTTTTAAACTGTTTGCCTAGAAATGAGGCCAGACCGATAATCTTTTCTTTCCCTGCCTTATCCTCCCTGCTTGTTTTTGTTTGTAAAAGGATTAAAATTCACACTCCTGAGCAAGAGCCAAGCCCAAAAAGGCAAAACATTGAGCTTTTACAGGTACAACAAATCATTAGTCAGTTAACTAGCAAAAATTAGACTAATAAAAAAGTAACTTAACATGCATTGTTAGCTTTTCCTTTAGATTCCTTCAGATGTTTAATCTTGTGGGTAAACTTGCACACAGTCTTTTACAGAAAGAAGAGTCAATATTATTATACTGAACATTGATGGCTATAAATAGATGAAAAACAGTGGGCCTCATTCACTGATATCTTTCTAATTTTTTTCATAAATTTGTTCTTGAGAAAGGTCCTAAGAAAAAATCAACATCAGATTCATGGTTATTAAACTGCAGGATTGTTTGCACGTTTGTGCTCTTGCGTGAGTGTAGAAAACATTGGTGAGTGGCAGAATCTTCGTAAAAACTGAAAAGTGAATCTTCGTAAAAAGTGTGTTTTAAAAGGAAATGTCTCCTAAATAACGGTTGGTGAACGAGACCCATTGCCAATTTCTGTTAATTTGAGAACAAATGTATTTAATTTTATATAGGGCTGGTGTCCTGCACAGTTTGATGATTTCTCTGCTTTCTATGCACAAAACCTGGCAATTAATTACTGAGGTGAATCGGGTTTCTTTGAGCAGAAAAATATATTTATTAATAATATTATCATGCTAATATTATTGGGATAATTTGTTAATTATATTTTTGCACTATACATTACACATAATGTATGATGAGTTATAATGAGTATGCAGCAAACTGCAAATTTGTTTCAAAATATCTCCTTCTTATAAACATAGAACTTAAATGTAGTATTGAAAGTTTAAAATCCACAGTTTCTCCACTTTGTCGCTGAACTACGAGTGACAAGTAGTTTATATAAAGTATATAAACTATGACTTGTTTGTGTTTGTGAGCTATTTAGAGTTTTTTAGAGGTTGTGTATTATGCGTATGGATCGGAAAACAATGCACTTTTTCCATGTGGGACAACAGATTTGTATCTTGATGCTAAGATGTCAGTGTTTGTGATGTGTGTGCAGAAGATGTGCAGCGAAACGCAGGCTAAAATGTTCGGGAAGTGCTGTCAGCTGAGGCCGACGGGGGGCAGCTCGAGCTCCCTGGACAGCAGCTCTTCCTGCGCATCGGAGCCCAGAGAACACAGCCGATTTCAGGTGAGCACACTGCCTCTTCTGACCATTGCTCCGCTGTAGGGAGCAGCTACTGGGTTGAATGATATTCACTGGTTATAAAATGCAGTGATAATCATACCAGTTCAACTTGGGATGGTTCTGTAAACATGTCTGATTAATTATTTTTAAAAGGTTTAAAACGTCGTATATTCCTTCACTTCTTATTTTTATTATTTTTTTTCTTCTTCGTGCAAGAAAACTTTTATGTTTGGATGAGGTGAATAAGTTGGTTTATTGTTAAAAGTTAATTGTGAAAATTTGTAGAAAAAAATATTCAACTAAGGGTCTATGTACGCGGTGGCATTCACAGGGGTTTGATGGGTGGTGGTGAAGTGGGACAGTGACTTCAGCTCTTATTAAAGGGGCTGCTCTGCCTGGTGTCTCTGAACTGTTAAGGCTACAGCCATGTACTGACAGAGGACTGTAAAAACCGAGAGCTAATGAAAGTTCAGATTCGTCTGTTATGTACTTCATGCATGGTGAGCAAGACTCTTGTCTCGTGTTGATGCCCCAAGCATGTCATGTCATTTTCAGGAATATGCACAAAACCATATCTGATAGAAATGCTGCTTAATTTGCATTTTACATTTTGAAAATTTGCTTAAAATTTGTGACAATCGTCACAATACCATGAGTACAAAAATTATCTGTACAATTATTTTCACTTACTTTCCTGCACTAAATCCAAATAAAACATGCCTGTTTATGGTCTCTTTGTAACAAACCATGCTATTGGTCCATGTTCTCCAAGTAAGAGAAAGTGTGGAGTGACACAATTTATCATGATAATGATAAATGTCCGCCCCAGTATATGTTGCTCAATACTAAGCATTTTGCGCTGAAGATATTTACCTTCATTACTTTTTCTTTTTTCTGTTAGGGTGCGCCACGCTGCTCCTCAGATGCCAACATGCTGGGGGAGATGATGTTTGGCTCTGTTGCCATGAGCTACAAAGGCTCCACGCTGAAAATCCATCAGATCCGGTGAGGCAGGCAGAGGGAAGGGGAGGGCAGGGCAGGGCATGGGCGGGTTGGTGGAGGAATGAGTAGTGTCACATTGACCAGTTATCATTTGACTGACAGAATGCACACACTGCCGGTGACTCATGAACAGTCAGAGATGACCTTTGTTCTCTCACTCTGTCTCACTGGCAGATCCCCCCCACAGCTAATGCTGAGCAAAGTGTTTACCGCGCGGACAGGGAGCAGCGTCTATGGCAGTCTCAACACGTAAGTTCCGCTCCTAGAGGTGCCCAGTATGGGAGACACACATCACAATACTAGTTATTCATTTTTACGATTCATGACGTGACAAGGTAAACTTTGGACCGTTATGCCACTTGGGAGCCCTTGATAAATCTGTTTTTAATGTTGTTCATGTTCTTGCAATTCTCAAACATTTTTACTTTTTTCACACATACTTCTTCTGCAAGGCTTGAGCCATGCGAAACATCTTACTTTTTCATTTCACTCTCACTAAAATAAGAAAAAAAACATTAAAAACACTACTACTTTAATTTATGACTTATCAAACGAAATTCTGTTTAAGCATTCAGTGCTGCATTATTTACCTGCTAAATTGGCATCTACGCTCCCAGTTTGAGAACCTCTGTTCTAGAAGCACTTAGAAGTACCCTCTAGGCACAATACCATCTTTTCCAATACCGATATTAAAATCTTGAGTATTGACTGATACTGATCTGGTATTTTCTTTAAAACCTACTCAACTTCAAAGTGAGTTATTGTTAATTAAAGCACTTCACTTAAGATGAGCATGTAAAAGTAGAATATCATGCTCAAACTACTTTACTACCCCACAGAAAGAAATGCACAGCTGACATCACATCACTCTTTGAGTTTGTGCTATTTCATGATAGATTTGTCACAGTATTAGATCATTCTTAGTTCATTCTGATATCCGATCCAGCACTTTCTGCTGATTACAGCTCAATACTGAAGCCTGGTATTGGATCAGTGTCATCTCTAGTAACCACCATGTACTCAGAAAAGCATATTGTGATGTAATTTATCATGGTAACGATAGCGCTGTCATATCGCCCAACACTACACACTTGTATGTCCATGCACACGCACAGAGCTACACACCCTCACACACCTGCCTTTTGGCATGTCTGATATCTCTGCTTTTTCTGGCAGGCTGCAAGACAGCTTGGAGTTTATCAGTCAAGACTCCAACACACTCAGGCCAGACCAGAGCACTGTGGTCAACGGCTTCCTGGGGAACATAGGTAATCTTTACCACACATTAGGTCAGAAGGATCTTGTGACTGTTTCGCAGTAAAACCCTTTGGGTGAAGAAAAAGCTCATATCCTTCCCCATATACACGTTTTCTCACTCTCTCTCACTGTCGTTAGGGCTGCATCATACGTTTAAAATACCAGCATTGCTAAGTAGTGAGATGCACCTTGTCATATATTAAATATGCGTTGGTAATTTAGTAATATGACGTTGTTAAAGAATGGGCTGCGTTACTTTGGCCAGAATAATTTACTTTTATTGGACTGAATTGTGATTGATCAGGATAAATATAGAAAAGAGTAAAAACCATTATGAGTGGTTAGAGGAAAATATAACAGAAAGTGTACAATGCTGTGCAAAAGTCAGGGACCACCCTTTATTTATGTAATTTCCAGTCAAAACAGCTGTTTAGTTCAAGTTATACCTTTTCAATCGGAAAATCTAATTGAAAATAAGTAGCAAAAGTAGCAGTCATAAAATGATTAAAAGGCTCCTAACAACCATGCAAGACCAGGTAGATTACCAGAATTCTTATCAGACAAACAAGCCATCAGTAATGATAAGCTGCCAATAAGCTGTTAGCAAGCAAGTCTCCTGAAAAGATTGGAAGCAGAAATAAAGGCAAAGGTTAAACACACTTGCCACTGAAAGTGTTGATATTAAGTTTAATTGTTGAAGCTTCTGCGTAGCTTCATATTAAATGTTTTTTGCTTTTTTCCTGATGCTGAAAAATGAATAAATATAAGGTTAATTTTGACTGGGAATTAAATGAATGACGGTCCCTGACTTGCTCTGTACTGTATTGTGCTGCCCTTATTGACAAATCCCTGACTACACATGGACACATAAGACGACCTTATGACTTTTTACTCATTCTAATGAATGTTTGTTCTCCATGGCTTAGTGATGTGAGAAAAGCAAGGCGTCAGCTTTACGTGAAATAGATCACATGTCCATTTTCCGAAACTGCAGTTTCAGTTTGTGGATGAGCAGTGTCTTGAACTTTGTCTGGGTGATCACGCTGTGTCATGTTTTTATCATGAGTGCAAACTTTTTTTTTTTAATAAAGCACAAGTTTAGATGTTTGTTTTTCATGTGTTATTCAGGTCAGCAATAGTAGTACGCTTCCTTATGGCGTTAATCATCATGTATCAGTCCACACTGACATCTCATGGCAGCGCCTTTCTTATTCTTTCTGCTTCAAATGATTATTGTGCTTACATTGTTTTGATTGTATTGCTTTTTGCTGATTTGTTTTACTCAGTCTCGAAGTGCTCTGTTTGTCAGTGTAAATTTGTCTGTATCCTTTTATCACTGTGCCCCTTTTTTGCAAAATGAAACTCATCTGCTTAAGGTGTGCAGAATGTAACCAACTCAAAGGAAACAGAACAGTTTCTTTCTTCTTTTTTTTTTTTTTTTAAATAAAGTGACGTTCTGCATGTCTTAAGTAGTATTTATGTGCCATGCCCACAGAACTTACAGCATAGTACCACTGATTTTCATATACACAAAAAAAGGAAAGCAGAAGTTGAATAGCATCATGCGCTGGCAGAAACGGCTGTTTGTATGTTCTGTGCGGGATTGCTCTACTTCAATGAACACTAATGTGCTCTTTTGTTGTTCTGACTACTTCAAAAGTATTCTCGTGTGTCGTCTCCTTTTTTTTGCTTGACTAACCTGGATCTTTCTGTGTCTCTCTCTCTCTCTCTCTCTCTCTCTCTCTCTCTCTCTCTCTCTCTCTCTCTCTCTCTCTCTCTCTCTCTCCTGCTCTCTCATTTGCCCCACCCCTTCCTCTTATCTATGGACATTGTGCTGCTGCAGGTTTCTCTCAACTCTGCAGCCCTCGCCGGGCCTTCTCTGAACAGGGCCCGCTCCGTCTCATCAAGAGTGCCTCTTTCTTTTCAGGTTGGCGCTATATGTGTGGTTGTGCTTTAAGGGTGGACGATATCGCAAAAAGATCACAATACTTGAAGACGTCTTCACGATGCATGATATCCATCTTAGTGTTTAGTGTGTCTGAGGTTTGTGGACGAGCAGTAGTGGCACATTTTAAAGGGGGGATTTTTTTTCAGAATTCTGTGATTAAGTCTGTGATTAAGATGTAAACAAAGCCAATCCAAGTGGTTTGATGAGAAATGCTCCGTACCAAGTCGGTATTGTTCACAGTGGTGATGGGAACCAGATTTCTGACTGTCTTACAGACAGTTGCTTCACAAAATGTTTAGCAGTAGGCTGCCTAAGGACTGAGACATGGTTTTTTTTTTTAATACATCATCACCGTCAGACTAGTCTGGTAGCAGTGTGTCACCACACAACCAGGTATGCCAGTCCTAAGATTTGAACCTGTGACCTTCCAGTTGTTGAAACACCTCTCCTACAGTTAGGCCGCACACAGTGTAAAGGGCAAGTGTGCTTTTTTTTATTTGTGCACAAAGATGTACAACTAAGATGGAGGTACAAGGTTTTGTCCCAACAGCAGCATTGTAGACATTGCAACCCCTGCTTACTGTCACCACCATTATAAAGAAATCTGAGTGAGTGAGTTTGTCTCTAATGAAGCGTTTCACATCATACCACTCTGATTGACTTTGTTTATATCTCAGCGGTTTAATTGTGCAGGAATTTTGAAAATTGGAATTTCCTATTTAAGGCTATGGAAAATGAGTGAAACAATTCAACATATTTTTTAAAAATGCATTATCTCAGAAGAAACAAAAGGGGAACCAAAATGTATCAAATTTGCATAATGGTCAGACATTCAAGCAGCTTTCAGTTACTGTGCCGTTTATGCAGTCACTATACACTGATGGATGTTGTTTACAGGTCTAAATCTATATTATTTAAAGCACACAGTCATATTGCCCACCCGTAGTGTTTTGTAGGCTTGAACGAGTGTGTGTAGCTAGCATGCGGCTGCTCTGTGTGACTTGTGCATGGTGTTTGACAGCATGATTGTTTGGTTCCTGCCACACTTAAAACTTCCACCTCTTTATTTTATTTATTTATTTTAATTTGTTTTTATCTCTATGCATCACTGTCATCTCGAGCATGGTTCCTGCATCCCTTTTTTCCCTCCCTTTCTCTCTTCCTCCCTCACTTACTCGTGCACTTCATCTCTCAATGTGGGGCCTTGATGCCAGGGGCAGGGATATAAATAGCTTAAAATAGCCCTCCTGCCTGTGACCTCCTTAAGTCTTGGCTAACTGTCATGCCATCCTGCCCATCAGTCATTCAGTAGAGGAATTGCCAAAAGGCTTAAGTGGGCATCCCAAATACGTTATTGCCTCCCTCACCAACAGGGTGGTCGCATTTCTAATCCACCATAGATCAGTGAATTCGGCTCTGTTTCTGTTCAGTCAGTTGCATTAAGCCTTGCTTAGGCTCGTAGGCTTTATTTGGAGCTTGTACACTGACAGAATTGGTCTATATGTGCTCTGCACACAATTGTATTTCTTATCTAGCGACCGCAAGCTTTACAGAACATTAGAAAAAATCCCACTGAACGTAATGTGTAATTGCAGCACTCTCAATTTTAGTCATTTTAAGTTATTTTTATATGTGGGTGAAAGGTCACATTCACATTTGTTTTTTTTGTGTGACTGAGCTTTTTACGATTACAGTAAACCTTTGATGGGCTAAACAGAAAGTTTCCTGACATCCTGACATTTTTCTTGTCTCCAAAGTTATGGCTAAAAAAAAGACGCAACGCTGTGTTGCTTTAAGCCATGTGTGATGTCTTTGGACAGCTCAACACACTTGGAGAACTCTAATAATCAATTCCGTTATGTCAGCTTAGACTGTTGCACCACTGGGGAGCCCCACAGCGTACATTCTCAGCCAAAAGGGTTCTGTATAGTACCAAAAAAGTGTTCTCTGGCTTATAACAATAGTGGAACCCTTTTTGGTGCTATATAGTACCCTATTCAAAAAGGTTCTCTATAGAACCATCTATAGCACATTCTCCGTCAGTCTGAAGAGCCCTTTGATGATGCAAAGAACCCTTTAATCATGCAGAGTTCTTTTGAGTGTTCATGATTTTATATAGTCATTTTCTTTACTAAAGAACCCTTGAAGAACGCTTTAATTTACTGCGGTGGTCATCAGAACGTTCTGTCAGGAGTTCAGTGTTTTCAAAATAACTATCTCCTCTTATTAGCTTTTTTCTTCCAGTGCCAACAGTGACCTTTCACACACACACTAAATATCTTTTAAAATGAATAACACTGTAAATTAAGTTGAGCAATACATTTTCTCTCAAGGTTTAGATTAGATTTTTGGCAGCAGTTGCTATGAAAGCATGGGTCATTTAAAAGAGAACTACACCTCCTGATCACTGTTTCTTCACATTATTAACATTTTTGACCTACACATCTACCTTAACTTGGGCTTTGTGCACTATACACTAAGAAGATACACAAACGCTGTGCATCATTCACACATCACCGTTGCATCATGTCCACTGAGTATGGTAGGCTGCACCTTGGTGAAGCACTGTACTGTATCAGTGAGGGTGGATTGACTCTACATAGAGGTGCAGTGGTGGTGGGTGCTAACGCACTTTGCTGTTGTTCTTAAAAGCACTGCTGCCGTCACTTAAAGAGTCCTTCTCCACTCTTTCCCTTTTTGCAGGCCACAGTAACCCCATGGACATGCCTGGCCGAGGACTGTACGACGAGAGAGACAGCGGGATTGCTCGATCAGGTGTGTGCAAGTGTGGGTTGTTATTTGACCGAAATGAAAATCAAGAACCCTTTGGGCTCAGCCTGCTGCTAATATATAGTATAAATTGCAGTTAGAATAATATTAAAGTGGAAGTGAAACATTTTCTAATTTTCTGCTAGTTATGGTAAATTGACCTTGTGTGACTATGAATTAAATACTGGAATTGTTAGGTGCAAATACAACTAAAGACGGACAAACCAGTAATAGACCAGTCTTCACAGAAGTCTTCAAATCCAAACCTTGGATCCAGTTTCTCTTAGTTTTTGTAATCACCTATAGTTAAATGAGCTGTGTTGCAAAATCTTGGACTGGTAAATAGAGTCCAGATTTGATGATGGTTAAAGACTAACGTTGAAATTTTCCTGTTGGCGTAGATAAAATGTTGCAATTGACAACTGTTTTCTAGGTAATTGTAATGTTTAACAGCCTTTACTGTTAAGTAAAGTAGGAACTAGGATTTGCAGCTCATTTTTGTCTGACAACAAACAAAGCGAGAGACTGAAATAGTAAATGTGCGACGCATTTTTTTAGCAGACAAAAAACTGATCTTGATTGATCACTGGAGACGTATTAAAGACGAGACGTGTAGACACGAGGTGTCCACTTTTGATGATGTTCCTTATGTGAACAGGGCCTTAGAACAGGAAAAAGCAAACAGTGTTGGGCTGGACTTCAGCCTTCAGATTTCCATCCCTGCTATAAAGTTTAAAAAAAAAAACAAAAAAAAAAACATTTGGGACTTGGAAAAGCTTGTGCAATGGAAAGCTAGGCACTGGCATGGAGAGCATGCCTGGAATCTTGCTTTCTGGGGAATGCTATGCAGGATCACATGCAGGCGATTATATATATATAGCAATTCCCCAAACTGCCCATTGATACTACTAAATGATGGGGACTAATTCTGGATTCATTCCGCTGTTGACACTCATCTCATTGCACTAGGGTCTCCTTTATTGAGCAGAAGATCCTAGCATCGCTAGGCCCATGGTTCTGATCTTGTTTATCGTCCATTCCGTTGTTTAATTTATTGACTTGAATCTTTAGAAAAGAATTAAATGGCCAATGAGAAACGAAAGTGGGAGTTTATTAGAATAATCTTTTGTACATAATACTAACTACACCCTGCATAAAAGTGTGGTCCATTGATGGTAATGAAACAGATCTAGGATTGTAATATATTTGTGGGGCAAGTATACTAACAGATTGTGTCTTTAGGTTAGCACAGTAATCTTGAACTGAAAGGAACATGCCTGCTGTCAGAGCTGAGTGAGCCTCAATAAAAGCCTGTGTGTGTGGTGTGAGTGTTGCGTCTTAAATATCTGAGGTGTGCAGTCAGCCGTTCTGTGGGCAGTTGAACTCATGCAGGGCGGACGTGAGCTATGAGAATTTCCGCTGTTCTCAATGAGTGAACTCTCTGACTTGCTCCTTCCTTGTCCTCCCTCCCTCCCTCCACAGCATCTCTGAGCAGTCTGCTGATCACACCGTTCCCATCTCCGGGCTCTTCCCTCACCAGTAGTTGTGCCAGTAGCTATCAGCGGCGCTGGTTACGCAGCCAGACCACAAGCTTGGAGAACGGAGTCTTTCCCCGATGGTATGAATTTCATGTACAATCTGTACTCCAAGACACACATTGTGTGTCTGCTTTTGCTCACACAAAGCTATGTCCACGTAATGTATCCTTCACCATGACTGTAGCTTGAGGGACGAACACAGTGCTTTTCTTCCTCTTGGAGAGGAAGTTGCTTCTGTTTTGTTGCCAGGAAACCAAACAGTAACATTCAGCTTGTTGGCACGTTATCAGTTGTGCTGATTACCTTGCTTGCTAAACATAGATGGCATGATTTGATATTAGAAAAGAAAAAATATAACAGTATTAGCCCTTTTCTAATATAAAAGGGGGAAAAAAAACGATTTTTTTTTTCTTTGGTCTTTAAAAGCTGCTAAGCTTTAATATAAACTACTTTTAGTTGAAGCATTTCACTTAAAATGGTCATGTGAAATAATCCTCACATTGCTTAAACAAACACTCTCCTATCTAACGGGAAGATATATAGCCAAAAACATGACATCAAACATATTTACATTTACTTATTTCCATTTCCAGTTTTTAAACAAAGACTGGCAGTAAAAACAAATGTTTATGCATAACGTTAACATGAAAATGAGCGGATTTATTTTCAATGTGGAATAAAACACAGTTACATTACCCCCCACCCCCAAATTGCTAAATATCTACCAAACTTCTGCCTAGTATTTTCTCATCCTTCATAAAGAATTCAGTTAACTGCAGAGTTTAAGAAATAATTGTTGATACTTGAACAGATAATAAAACTGCAGCTGGAATAAAGGTTCTCTGCCTGCCCAGTGATTAGTCAGCTGGAATGGAAATTGCACTGAGGAGAACAGATATATCCCTTTTGTTTTTAAGCACTGTAAAGGGCCCTTGAAATAGACTCTTGCAAACATGTGAGGAAACCCCCTGGGAGCTCCATGGAGCAGCTGGAAATTGATAAACATGAAGACCCAAGTGAATTGACCGAGCACAGGCTGTAATTTCATGAAAGACAGACTGTGCAGAGACTTTAATGTGGTTTTGTGTCTCTGTGTTGTACAGGTCTGTGGAAGAGAGTTTTAACATGTCTGATGAGAATGGTGGGCCAAGTCTTGGTGTAGCGAGGAAGAAGAAGATAGCCATTGGCGTCATCTTCCTTCTGTCATCCAATGAAGAAGAGAACAGCAAGTTCCAGGACTTTTTCTTCTCACATTTTCCTCTCTTTGAGAGCCACATGAACAAACTCAAAAGTGCCATTGAGCAGGTAAGCCAGGTTTGAGTCATGGGGTGTCTTTTATTTGTGTGGTTCCTGACAGTATAGAGCTGTCTATCTAAACATGAGCCTGAGATAATTACATTAGAGGTAGTTACACTGACACTTTAGGCTGCAATTAAATCAGGCTACAGGCTTAAATGTTTCTAGACATTTATTGGTTAAAGATTTCTAGTGTTTTTTAAACTTATGCTAAAGCCCTGAGCTATCAGTGGCTTTCTCTGACACATGCTCAGTGTATTTTGTTTTATTTTTGTCTTTTAAGGCAATGAAGATGAGCCGACGGTCAGCTGATGTCAGTCAGAGGGTCTTGGCTCACAGTCGCATAGTGGACGGCCTCAATGAATTCAGGTGAATTTACAGCTCAGGATTTGGTGCAGAGCTCATATATGGAGAGAGTTTCTTGACATAAGGCAAAGAAGTCAGTGCATGCGCTGACTTTTGGCATAGGAACAGTTCCCTGCATGTACTTGTTGTTTGGGAATGCAGTCTGGGTTTGGTTGATATGTTGAGGGGGGCTGATCACAAGGTGTTTTTGTTGTTAGCCCTTGTTAGCCCCCCCTCTTGTTCAATAGCCCTTCCAAAGTTTTAATGAACACTTAAGCCACTCATGTGATGTGAGCTGGACAGTGATCAGAGGGCACAATTCCCCTATACTAGTGTGAATTGCCAAGCCAAACTCCGGAATAGAAACATCCCACTATGTAACCCAGTGCTGATCCAGGACATTTTATTAAAGGAGAAGAGCTGTTATTCTAGATAAGTATAGTTACATGCTGGACTACATCGTCAAGCCTGAGTAACCTTTCACCTGGTTAATGATAAAGGTATAAAAACTGTTATGACGTGGTCAAATAAGCTTTGGAATCGTTCCTTACATACGCTGAGGTGTCTGACCTTTCAACTTTAGCATAGCTGCAAGACCCAGAACAACATGGCAAAATGAGATGGGGGCTGGGGGAGGGATCGTGTTTAATTAAATATGTATTGTACCTGCAAGTGTTTCCTTTGGACCAACCCTGAGTAATGCTCAAAACCTCACACCAGTCGAATGCTAACCCCACTCAGCTCAATAAAACGGAAATTCCCTACCCAAACAGAGGCTAGAGCATTTGTGCAGGCTAGGGTGCTATTGCAACTCCCCCACCTCGCTGCCCGTTAGGCCTCTCAAATCTGCAGTCATATGCCTCTCTTGGCCTGCTGCCACAGCCACCCGACCCCACTGCCACAGCAACCTAATCTCCCTCAGACAGTGTTGGACCGGACCAGAATAGTAAATAATATGCAAGAGGCCATCAGAAGGAACGGACAAACAAATATTTTTAACCTCTCACCTCTTGCCCGGCTCAACGTTCGCCCGCAGGCTTCGTGTTCGCACTCAGGTCTGGGAAGAGCGGGGAGGGAGGTGGTTTGTAGAGTGAAATGGAAAAGTACAGTTGTACCTGGAGTTTACCAAACACCTGTCAGTGAGTAACCACTGGGTTCTTGCACATGCACACACCTGCAGATGTGCTACAGATGTTACCCAATCAGCCTTTATCATTAGAGTTGCGGATTGCTCATTTACTGCAATTTAACTGTCAAGTTAACTGTGTTTTATACACTTTCTTCTGTATTTTATGCCTTGTTTACATATACATTGTGCAGAACGCACTCAATAAATCAGTTATCTAACTCTTGTCACATTGCTCCTTAACATTCATTTGATCATGCACTGCTGAAGGACTTGGCTGCTAGCCAGGCCGAATCTGTCCTGTCCAGAAACAGAAAGAGACCAGAGCTTTTTATAGGCCACTGCAAACTAACTTGAGTACTGAGAACTGTAGTAAGTTATGGAAAGGGGATCATTTTTTTTTGTTTCTTTTTTTTTCAGTAGTTCCTCATGTGGACAACTGTATGCTTAAGCATTTAGAGTGAAGATCACCTTTTTTTCCCTCCTGCTAATCATCATGGCCCATCTTTAAAAAGAACCAGCTCTGTGGCCACTTCCTTTCTGTGGGCCAGTTTTAGCCTGTTCTTGTATAATGGCCACCTTATCCCAGTTTACATGAGCTTAACAACTCCTGAGCATGAAAAACGTGATTATGCATGCCATTGCTTTTCTGGCAACATTGTAGAAGTGTACATTTAACATTTGAGCTTTAATTATTGGTATAAAACACTCATCAGATTTTTCCTCCAAAGGCAAGTGTTCAAATCTCTTTAGAGAGTGGCCATTTTTCTTGATTCCTTGCCATTAGTTCAGTTTACAGTGTTATTCTCTGGCTAGATGCCCAGCCTCAGAGGCTGCATGGAATTTCCAGACGCTCAGTATGCCCTGAAGGTCTTCCCCAGCTGGGGGCAGTCCTGCAGAACTGTGGCCCTCTTTGTTTCAGCTGCTTACAAAGGCTCTGCTGTTTGTGTCTGTCTGTGCACTCAGGACGACCATCTGCAACCTGTACACCATGCCCCGCGTGACCGAGCCTGTCTGGCTCACCATGATGTCCAGTGCCACCGAGAAGAACCAGCTCTGTGGCCACTTCATGCGTGAACTTGCCTCGCTCATGGAACAAGCCTCAAAGAACCAGTTGAGTAGCTGTCCTAAGACCTGCAATGCTTGTGATGCTGTTAGTTCTACATATTTTAGAAGATTAGCAGCTTACATTTATCTTGTAAACCAATTCTGTGTAGAGTATGATTTATAATGTTCACAGAAACAAAAGATTGGAATGGAGGTCGACGTTTTATGTGGGGTCATGAGGCAGCAGTGCTTTGAAAGAATGCCACTCTCATTAATTATCTTGCCTGTGGGTCATCTTCAGGTTTCTTCCAGCTCTTCTCACAGCGGTCCTCACTAACCATCTGGCCTGGGTGCCTACAGTCATGCCCAATGGACAGCCACCCATTAAGATCTTCCTGGAGAAGCATTCCTCTCAGAGTGTGGACATGTTGGCCAAGACTCATCCCTACAACCCTCTTTGGGCTCAGCTCGGTAAATAAATGAATGAACTGTTCTAAGCCATAATTCTCACGCCATCTAGTGGCAGGTTGGAACAAAATAATTAACACTAACACTTTACAAATTTTACTGCCATCTCTTTAAGCATAGTATTGATGGAGGTTTAACACAAATACTGTGCTTTATCCTATGGTCTTGTCTGTAGTTTCACAGTTGTGTTTGAATGCCTTATATTTAGATGCAATTCTGATTGTGATTACACCTAAAATTATGTGTGTTTCTTACCAAAGGTGACCTGTATGGCGCAATTGGTTCCCCTGTGCGTCTGTCACGCACAGTGGTGGTGGGCCGGCGGCAAGAACTGGTGCAGCGACTCCTCTACATACTCACTTACTTCATCCGTTGCTCTGAGCTGCTGGAGACCCACCTCTTGGAGAGCGCTGAAGATGAAGCCATAGTCATGCCTGGCTCACTCATCACCACTTCTCTACGCCGTGGTGAGGTGGAGGAATCGGACTACGTATTGGTCACTGTGCACAAGCCCAACCACGACTACCTGTCCCAGGGCGCTGAGGCGGGGGACTGCTACCCCTCAGAGAGCAACAGTCTGCAGAGCAGCACTTACACAGACACTGAAATGGGCCTTGGAGCTCCAGAAGATCAGCTGCCTGAGCAGCAACTACTGCATGTTATACCAGTTATCAAGGCGGAGGATCACAGCGATGGTATGACATGCCGAGAGGTGAGCAGCCTGCGCCCGGAAGCACGGCTGGAGACTATGGTGAAGGTGGGTTCCACCTCTCCTAGGGAGAGTGGCCCCCTGCTGGACATACAAGGACAGTCCGAGAAGTGCGAGCCTGATAGCGATGTTAGTGGCTTGTCTATAAAGGTGTTTCGGTCATCAGGGATCCCACTGGAGAAGAAACCACCTGACAAGAGCCTGGCACCCACCTCTTATCTGTTGGATGAGGGAGAGGAGCCTGCTGCCAAAGTCACCTTCCTCATCGGTGACTCTATGTCCCCTGAATCTGACATGGAGAGCAGACAAGGGAAGGTGATGGAGGAGTTTAATAAGCACAGAATGCACTTCAAAGAGGAACAGCAACAGCAACATAACAGTGTTCAGCAGGACAAAGCCAAAGGCCTGTTGCCTAAGCCTCTGTCGGCGGACCAAATCAAGACCAACGAGAGCAAGGAAGCCAAACATTTGGTACGCGTTGCTAGCGATATTCCTCACGTTAGCTCTGGGGCCCAAGAGGAATGTATGGACTTGTTTGATGAGTATTTTAGTGATGATAACCCAGTGGAGACAAGGACTATTGATGATGTCTCCCACATGCTGTCTGAGATGGCAACAAGCAATGTGGACAAACTCCGCCAAGATCCACAAGGGTCTCGGATGGGCTCACTGCTTGGGACACATGAACAGGTTTGTGAGCAGAGGGAGGGGGACCGTTGTAAGTGTAGCACAAGCAACACCACCATAGGCTGCTGTACGACCTGCTGTTCTGCAGAGCAGGACAAAGGCATTGGGATTTCGCTGAGCGTACCATCCCAAAGAGAGGTGGGGGACCAAAAGAAGGTAGCCCCATTGAACGATTGGGAGATTCCACGAAATGAGAGCTCAGACAGTGCCCTGGGAGACAGTGAAAGTGAGGACGCAGGGCAGGAGCTTCCCCGGCAAGAGCAAGACGGACAGTTCTTCGGTGAGGAGCAAGCTGACTGGCAAGATGAGCTGGAAGTGCCCTTCCCTGGGTAAGTTAATGAAAAGGGTTACGATACTTATTTTCTTGCAGATTACATAACAAGAAACTGCCTACTGTCAAGACTGCTTTTTCTTCTTGTGAATGTCTTTTCTCCCCCAAACATTTAACCTTAGGAATTCTAAATGAAACAGATTTTTTTGTAATATTATGTCATTTAGCATTTTTCAACACCAATGCTAACATGATCTGATAGTTGGAACTGTTCTGTGTACGCAGGTATTGCTGAAATATGTCAGGAAATTTTGTGTAACATTTGAGTTATGTTTTTAATGACAGTCACAATTTAAACCAAAGTCATGAATCCAAGTCATATGGTACAGCTTAAATAACTATGGGATTTTTTTTTTTCTTTTTCAGGGCTAAGCTAGTGGAAAATTATTCCAAACCAAGTATTGCCAACTTTGGGAGATCCTTGTTTGGAGGATACTGTCCCACTTATGTCCCTGACTTTGTTCTGCATGGAATACCCAATGAAGACAAGCTGAGGCAGAGTCTTGTGTCTGACTTGTCTCATGCTGTTCAGGTAAAAAAAAATCCTAACCTTTTTTTAAAACCACAATAATTCATTTATATTTAAGCTCTTTTTATTTTTTTTTATCTAAATTGGCAGCATGACAATGACTGCCCCTCTCACATAAATGCAGTACCTTGTTTCTAAAAGTCTCATTAAACTCAGAACTTTCCCCTTTCTCCTTGACTTACAGCATCCTGTGTTGGATGAGCCTATCGCTGAGGCCGTCTGCATTATCGCAGACACAGACAGGTGGACGGTGCAGGTGGCTAGCAGTCAGAGACGAGCCACTGAAAACAAGCTGGGCAAAGAAGTGCTTGTGTCCAATCTTGTGTCCAACCTGCTGCAGTCCACCTACCAGCTGTACCGTCTCAACCTTTCCCCTAATTTTGTGAGTGCATCTCTCTTTCCGACGTTTCTTTTATCTTTTGGTTGATGTCATGCTAATTAAAACTTGCCCCTTTTGATATCCCTCCCTAAAAGACAAGACCATGTTAAGGACAAATTCACCTTGATTTAAATGACTCTTCTACTTCTGACACGTAATTCTGTTACAGCTTATCACATCAGCTCACTTCACACTTTCAAGGGCTCAGTGTGAAGTCTTTTCTTTTCGTTCTTCAGTGTCTTGTGAATGACTCATTAGGTGCAGCGTGTGCATAACAATTATCTTGCGCTCTCTCTCTTTGCTCTCAGTGCATAATGCATCTGGAGGACCGGCTCCAGGAGCTGTACTTCAAGAGTAAAATGCTTGCTGAATACCTGAAAGGACAGACCAGGGTGCATGTCAAAGAGTTGGGCATGGTTCTAGGGTGAGAACACATTCTTTTTCATCTTCTTCTTTGACATGTATACTAAAATACCAGAATGTGCAGGACTAGGGGTACTCTGGGATCACTGCACAATGCAGTACATGTATGAGCTTTTTTGTACTAACAATAACGTCTGAGGCTGGACGAAAAATGTATAAATCTGTACTAAATTATCAATAAATATACTTTTTTCCTCTCTTATTCAAAACCATGGCTATTTTGCAGTTAAATATCACTGCTGTTGGAACAAAAGCTTGTATCTCAAAAATGGTAACTTTTACAGGAGAAAGGGAAAAAATTACATACTTTTAATGTAAGTCAGTGTATCCAGGCTTTTGTTCCAAATAACTATGGACCATTTCTTTTTGGTCCATTCATAATGATATTTACACACAATGTAAAGGACAATAGATATTTTAAAATTATGCAAACATTGAAAAATGATAAAAATGGAGATGCTGGGGGCACAAAAGCCTAGTGGATTTTTCATAAGTTTCACTGAAAGAGACCTCAAAGATCCTGCAAGTTGGTGGAACACCTCACTGAACTTTATAAAAATTTTCTTAGCTTGATGGGGCGTCTGCATCTTTGAGTCGCATTGGCTAACATTGCCGTTACTTTTGTTCCTTGTGTCTTTTTCCCACATTCTCAATGTAAACAAAAAAAAAGGTTTTAGTGTGCTAAATCTGTAAAAACTGAGATCTTACTATGGCTAAACGTAACTGTCATTTTTCTTGTGTGCCAGCACACCAGCAAGACACTCACTCTCACTGTATAAATGAAGTAAAACTATTTTAGAAAATTGAAAGAAAAGCAAGTTCCACAACCATCAATTATAATTTTCAATTCAGACCTCTCTTCATTTTTTACTTTCATAAAATTTTTTCTTTTTAATTTTATATTCTTTTTGCCATTAATCATCATTTATACTGTTTCACTATATTATTTACAAACACTGTGAAGCATTTGGAGCAGAACTTTTATAACGGTACTACATAAATAAAGCATATATACCAGTGCAGTGATTTTGTAGGTTTTGCTGTCTCTGGTTAATTTCCATCAGATTCTAATCTCTTTGTTTTCTATGTCTACAGGATCGAATCCAGTGACCTGCCACTGTTGGCTGCCATTGCAAGCACGCATTCGCCGTACGTGGCCCAGATCTTGCTTTAGGTGACGTTAGAAGTGATACGGACACATTTTCACTTCTCCACCTGCAGGGACCATAGAGTCCATGCTTAAAAGGCGTGGACTATCCATGGCTGGAGCACCTTGAAGCATCAGAAACCCTTTGGGGTTCACAGCCGGAGCTAGTCCTTAGCAACTGCCTACAGGAATGACAGGCTGCAGGATAGACTCTCTACCACAAGGTGGCACCAGAGCTTGCTGTTTCTGTTCTGAAGTTTGGGAGGCAGTATCAGATTACCCAGGAACTCACTGAACTGGGGAATATGTGACTTCATTTTTTAAAAAACACTTGTAAAAGTGGACTTTAACTGTATTTTTATATACAGATCTTTTTGTTTTAGCCCTTTCCTTCTGCAAGAACAAGGAACCCCAAATGCAGGTGACTTTTATAGGGGGAGATAAGGTCGAAATTCACATCGGTGCACCACCTGTAGGAAGCCAAGGCTTTTTCATGTGGATTACTGATATGATCAGTTGTATTTTCTTTAATGAATGTCCCTTACAATATCAAAATGCTCACGCCAATAATTTTCTAGTAATTTTTCTATCTGTTTACACCATACTAATCCAGTTGTCTCGCTGAAATCGAATGGCAGACAATGAAAGTCGGGGAGAAACTGTTGACCGTTTTGCTCTCTTTAATGTCTTTGCTATCACTGTCCCATTGGCACAGCGCTACCTCAAACAAATAATTGTGGGTGATTTGCATAGATTACCTGGCTAAGAGAAATATTTAAAGGGAAAGCTGACTTTGTTTTTTGTTCAGGAGGCCAAGATCAGGAAAACAAAATGCTGTGCTGTGCTGTGCTAAAAGGGACATTCGTACCGCAACATGAGTTCAAAACTGAAAATGCTGAAAATACGCGCAAGGAACTCTACAGCTTAAAGGCTACCATACTGTGTTTACTGCTCAAATGCATAAATGCATGAGGAGGAATGAAAAATAGAAGTTTTTCAATCATGCTGTGCTCGAACAGCCAAAAGAACCCCACAAAAGAATTCTAGAAATTAACAAAGGTATCGAACAAACTTTTTTACTCCTTTTTAATCACGTTGAATAGGCCTGTTGTGTATGAATTTTTTGTTTTTTTTTCTTGTCTTGGGGTAATGCCGTGCATCTGAGTCTTAATGGACATGTGGCATGAAAAGAACAGAGGCTTTGCAGAGTTTATTTTGCTGGTTAAAATAGCGAATGAAATGCTAGGCTTCTGCAGGAAAACATGCAACTTGTTTCATTTTGTTAGAAAACCCTTACGCATCGTCTTCTCAGTTGTATTTATATCTAATTATTTCTTTATACGTGATCACAGTTAAATTATTTAGTACAGCATGTGTTGGTTCATGTAAATTGTATATATTGCTTAGGTTTTTTTTTTTCTCTGTGTATTTGTACATATCTTTCATTGTGACTTTCTCCCTTTTATTCTTTCCCAATTTTATGGGAATATTGTGCAATAAATGTCAATGTTATACATTTACATGTGTGGTTTGATGGTACTCTTTTCAGGCATTGTAAAGCCACCTTTAGGACAACGTGAATGCTGTGCGTTTGTGTGCTTTCCGAGATGTCCTGTTTTGAGTGAGCTGCTTGAACGTTCTTCTCTTTGCATTTTACAAGATGTTGTGGAAGCGTATTCCTGCCAGATAGAGGACAAAAACTTACCCGTGGCTCTTTTTTCCTTTTCTGTTTATGGCAGAAGTATTTTGGCATATCTTGACATTGTTTTATGTTGGAATAATGACTCATTTTCTTGAGATAGTATCTTGAAAATGGACTTAGTACTTCAAAATTTGACCTGCTGGTTGACTGATCTTTTTTTCCCCAAATATGTGAAATTTAATTTTACCCTAACCTTGAGATAAATCAAGATTTTGGGAAAATGTCACCGTTTCGACATAGCTTGTAAAATTTTGAAGTACTAATGTCGAAACGGTGACATTTTCTCAATTTTGACTCATCTCAAGATTAAAGTCAAATTAAATTTTAACATATTTGGGGGGGGGGTGATTACTTTTTAATAAAAAAATAAGTGATTACTTGGGTATACTAAGTCGCTATTTCCACATGGCAAGTCAAGATTTCATGAAAACGTCATTATTCCGAGATACTAAGTAATTTTTTCACACACTGCTGCCAAAAACGGAGAAAGACTGGGGAAAAAAAAGTAGGCGCGACTTCTTTTCTCTCGTCAATCTGGCGGGATGGGTTTCCACGTAGATTTAATGTAGACCAGACTGCTGTTTTAAGCAAAAACGTCCAGAGTCTAGGCCGAATGTACTTTTTAGGGAAAAGTAAGTGATGGGCGTTCCGCAGGAGCTGTGCGCAAACCCAAACCAGCAGCCGACAGCTGGCTAACTTAGGTTAGCTTTCACTGCAGTCCAGCCCCTGAGGTGGAGACGGAGCTAGCCAAGTTTTTAAGCTAAAGTTTTAGCGACGAAGAAAGTGACATGTCTAAATTGTGTTTTTTCGCGAAAATAAGATGGCGAGTGAGGAATTAGTTTCATTTGGCCCCGAATAACTTTTACTGGACGGTCGCCATAGCGACTTTTTGTGCAAGGCGGCAGTAAGGACACTTTGTTTTAGCTGGTAAGCTAAAGCGCTGATTAGCTAACGTTAGCTCAGAAAAATCAATGCAGCCGGCGGAGGCGGAGAGGAGTCAGGAGCGGTGGGAGACTGAGGACTAGGAACTTAGTAAGGATTTTTTTTCTGACCTCCACTGTCGTATTAAATATTTTCCATGGATTTATTATTCAAGCAAGCACTGAAAAAGCCTCCTTCACAACGCACAGCAGAGGTAAGAACAGTTTGTAATACAGCTGCAAGCTAATTTACCTGATAACTCCAGCTTACCTGGAGAACTACTCGTGCATCTGAAGATTGCTAACTCTGCGACTTCTGCTAAACATTTAAACGTATCTACTAACGTCAGCAAGCAGGGAAACTGAGATTATTCAACATTATCTTACAACACGCGTACAAATGCAGCTTCATACTTTGTAGTCGAGCCGAAACTATAAGGATAAATCTCTCTTTTTAACTTGGTTATGAAGGAGCTGTGATATCAGATCAACATGAACGCAGCTAACGCTAACGTTAATTCAAACACGATTAACGTTCAGTCATTTAACGTTAGTTACTTTCGTCAGACGGTTCATTTTCCAGTGATTCATCCGACCGTTCACATCTTGAGAAGATAAGAATCAACATTATGTCTTTGAAACTTCCATCACTTTGGCGGCAGTGCAGAGTAATAATCTTCTATCTCCTCAAATGTCAGTCCGTGCCAATCACCACTGCCGCTCGTGTTGATAGCTTTGCCTTTCAGACTTGCTAACTGTAAGCTTTGCAAGCTTTCCCTGACTCGCTAGAATGTTAGAATGGGACATGTCAAAGGGGAATTCCACCGACTTGTCAAAATTCCTGCTTATTTTAGTGGTTGAGAAGCAAACAAAATCATTTAGAATGGTGCACTGTGGTGAAACGTAACCTACAAAGTCAGATTTCTTTACAGTGGTGGTGACTGGAAGCACAATATTTATAACGCATATACTCGTCTTATTTAGGTTACTCCATGTGTTTTCTGAGGTTTTACATGCATTGTATGTATTTGTATACGTTAATAATGTTAAAATCATGGTAACTGTGTAAAATACATTTTCTCTGGGTACTGTTTTGCTTTACAATACCCTGCGCGTGCCAAATTATCATAAAGCGTCATGTCTCAGGCATTAGGCAGACTATGTGTAACCATTTCCTATAATAGCTTTATGTAAGGGAGCTTTTAGAAGCTGTAAACTCTATAGACGTCTGGTTCCTATCACCACCACTGTAAACAATTCTGACGTCTAGTTTCTCTAGAACAGCATTTCACATCAAGCTACTCTGAATGACTTTGTTTTCATCTTAACAACTGAACTGTGCAGACCTGTTGACCCTGTTAGCCTTTAAGTTAGTAATACAGCTAATAGTCATCACTATTTGCAGTTGTAGGAAAAGTTCCTTGACTTTAATTGCCTGGTGTGGGATTTGTTTTCCCTCAGATCTAGCAGATTCCCACCTTTGCTGCAGTGATGCAGTGCAATCTTATACTTTTTTTTTTTTTACTGGAATAGCTGCCACACCTGACATGACCCTAATGTTGAACAGATGGGTTCTCTGTTACACTTCTGTAATTGCAGTTTACTGTGGAGCGATAGTGTTTGGGGATTTAGGGACTTTATCCTTAAGTTTTTATTGCTGTTTTGTATTCCACTCTTCTGGCCTCTTAACATTAGTAGCACCTAGAATTTTAATATCTATGCTAAAATATATATATATAACAGTTATGCACTTACTGGCCACTTTACACCTTTTAATTTATACTTCTATGAATCTGCACTCGTGGTCCATATTAACAGCTCCACTTAACATATAGGTGTACTTTATAGTTCTACAATTACTCTGCATAATTTATTAGTCACACTTCACCCCATTAATCAGTGATCAGAACCCCCACAGGACCACCACAGAGCAGCTTTTATTTGGGTGCTGTATTATTCTCAACGCTGCAGTGACGCTGACATGGTGATGCGAGTGGATCAGACACAGCAGTGCTGCTGGAGTTTTAAAACACTGTGTCCACTAACTCTATTAGACACACCTACCTAGATATAAAGTTAGAGATGATAGCTCATCTGTTGCTGCACAGTTTGTGTTAGTCATCCTCTTGTCCTTCATCAGTGGTCAGCTTCTGGCCACAGGATGCTGTTGGCTGGATTTGTTGGTTGTTGGCTTATTCTCAGTCCAGTAGTGACTCCGAGTTGTTTAAAAACTGGCAGTGCTGTTGTGTTATGCATAATGTCCTCATACTATTGACATATGAACACATATTTGAGCATCACGTTCAGTTTCAGTGAGCTTTCTCTAAATGTTCCTGTCTTTTCTTGGGTGGCCTCACAAAGCTTTGCCTACTAGTGAAGTCTTTTAAGACTGAGATGTTGCTCTGCGAAGTATCTTCTTTGTCCATCAAGTCTAGAGTTATGTCTTAATCCAAGCATTTTCTATTTCTGTTCTCCAAAGAATGTTTAAGTGCCTTCGAAATGGGTTTGTTCAGTTGCCCAAATTTGGGCTTTTTTAATATTCAGACCTCTGACCAACTTGAAAAGCTCTTTTGTCTTTGTTTTAGTTGTGTCATGCAAGATGTGTTATACTGTGAGATGTTTTACAGACAGACAGTTGTCCTCAAAATATATTCAAAGGACACAGTCTTCCAATGTTGTACACCAATGAAATCCATTGACAGATTCTGTATTGAGGTAATAAGTCGCATCTGAGCAACCTGGAGTTTCAAGGCTTACAGTTTTGAAAGGCATAAATCTGATGTTTCACTGGATACAGTGGATCTGCTTCCACGGAAGGTGCATTAATAATTTGGCATGCTTGGACAATGGAGCTACTCTCTCAACTCCCTCTGGCCCAGCGGCAACTTTAAAAAGTACAGTATCTCACCCTTTGTACTGCATCTCAGGCCCTGTTCACACCTTTTATTAACAACCGTCCCGAGTAGGGATGTTAATGATTAACTAACTGCTAACCGACAAATGTTACAAATGTACAAACGTTATCTACAGACGTACATAAATGTTTGACCAGTGCCTTTGGTTAAAAAGTTCCTTTAAATTCTGATACATGAGTGATATTTAAATAGGCAAGTTTTTCATTTAACTTGAAGATCATTTCGAATTGTATTCGGTAGGGTGCAGCTTGTGCAGGTAGAACAACTTAGTGATGCACAACTCCGGGTTTTCTGGAGTCGACTTCAGCTCACAACTTCACTGAACTTTAACATGTAGTGCCAGAGACGTTAATAAAGGAATTTAGCAGAGATTAAACCAGCCTGAACGTAGTTCACGGCACTGTCGCAACTAGGATATTTAGCTACATGACACAATACTAACGTAGGCTACGACTTTTTTTTTAAATGTCATTTTACTTCTGTTGAGTGTAGCCTTTAAGAGAGCCTATTATAGTCTGCAAATGTGTTTGTTAGCTAATGGTTAGCCACTGTATTTAGTCCTATGACAGTGATTAAAAGCTACAAGCTACCAAATGTTTGTTGATTGTTGTTTAAACTATGCATATGTCTTGTTTAAACTATGCAAACTCCAGCCAGGCCATATATGTCTGTTAACTTGGGCTAATAATGTGTTGAAAATGTGAGTAGATTGCATTATATTACTGTCATATCTGTTACGTTAGGCTGTGTTTTTTTCCTTCATTAAAGCCTAAAGGCTTGTTTATATAAAATGCAGTGTGGATGTTTTCAGAGGTCTGTGATTTTATGCTTGTTGGTTAACGAATAATCACTGGAACAGTGGTTTTTCAGTCAAAAGAATTCGGCACAGGTTGAATCCCTCGTCTCCAGTGATCCGATCATACAGCGAGAATTGGAGCCATTTACACCAGGCATTTCATGTATCTCAAATAAATCCCTATTGACCACAAGCGCTTGAATGTCTTAGCATATGCTTATTTTAGCCCAGTGTGGCCTGAAGCTTTTGCAGCCCTAAATATTCACAACGTGAAAAGACAGATTTTAAGAATCTTTGATTTTCTTTTCTCTTTTTCTGCCCTGGCCTGTTTAATCAAAAGTCAAGAGTTGATTGGCCTCCACTGCTGGACTGACATCATTAGACCGGCAACCTCAAGTACCTCACACAAACCAGCCAGCATTGTCAACTGTGGTAGTTAAGAGACTTTGGCTGTACTAGGCTACAGTTTGAGTAGCTGTTGTTGTTTTGTAATAATGTATATGTTTAATAGTAGACTTACTTTTCATGCCGTCACATGGCAGAACATATCACAGCGTAACAGTGGCAATTCAGCATTTGTTTGTCGCATACAGAAAACCAGCTCTGGCCCTGGGTTCCCACTTTAAGCATGATGCTGTCTACAACATGACTTTAGAGGTCTGTTGGCACATCTCGCAAAGCTTGAAACACGTTTTTAACGTTATCCAGTTCACTAAAAATACTTGGCTCCTTAGACAAACTTTTTACGTGTTACTTATACGTATTATTTTTTACTGTTACAAATTCACAGGCTCTTTTTTTAAATGGAAACTCTACCTCGCAGGTCTGCTGGGTTTGCCCTCCAGACACACTGGAACAAGTAAAATCATGCAGACCTTGCATGATTTGCATTTTCCTGTACATGTTGTACTGTTTTACTTTGCTTTAGTGGAAGTTGTCCAGTACAGTTAGTGAAAAAATCTCAGTATAGCCTTTTAATGGTTTTTCAAAGCTGCTCATCACACCCCTGCTTTTGTTTTTATCATGCTAAGGTGAAAGCTGAAACTCGGCTCTCTGTTTTGAACACGAGACTGACATAGTGGCTTACTGGCTAATTCTCTAATAAATTTATAATTAGCTGTAGGCCCAGTAACTGAGAAAAAAACGTATTAAGATGAATTTCATACAAATATTCCAGCTAAGTTCCAACCAGTCAACATTTCTACAGAACACTTTCTTTATTACCTTCTAAGCATCCATGTGAAACCTCTTAACTGTATTCCAGTGCTGTCTGTATTCATTTGATGAGAGATGTAATAAAGGATTGAGGAGCAACAGATGAACTAGGATTGCATAACATTTTCCTTCATTGCCATGGTAACACTGGGATTCTTATTTGCCTGAGCGTATTTGGTCTGGCACCCACTTAGTGGAGAAATGGTAACGAGTGTGGCACAGCCCCTGCCCTCATGACTTTCCATGGCACACAGCACTGGTTCTTTTTATATCCTCAACTTTTTCCTGG